CAATAATTTGGACTGCATTGTGTATTTTTTAAAATAATGAATTTGTTAATTCTAATCTAGGCTTTAACAATTATTATCTTATATTATACAAAAACATCAAGATGTCATGTAAGAATAGTTAGAAAAGGAATCACAAATAAAAATTAAATTTTTTAAAGCATAGTTAGTAAATGTTGGCAATGACAAAAATGTTGCTACTATTACATTTGCATTGTAAGTTTATCAAATCACTGTGTTTGTTCATTTTAAGTTCACAATAAAATTTAACTTTAAATAAAATGTAGCTTATTTTGGACCATACAGTACATATTTGAATAAAAATCCTGATAATTCAGACTTTCACTAATTCAGATTATGTTTTCTCCCAATTAGTTCAAATTAGTGTAATTCTACTATATATATTTTAAAACATAACAAATTCAATTTGAAAATAATATTACTAGTAAAGCAAGTAACAGAATGCAATTGTTATGACAATGATTGTTGCATAAATTAGCAAAGATGCTATGTTTATATATTTTAAAATTTTTTGTCATTAATAATAATATCTAATCTGGACAACAGTTATTTTTATTTAGTAAATAATTTTAATCATTGGGCTGCAATTTAAAAAAATTGTAAACCTAGAAATTCCCACTGTTGTCTGTTTGTCCTTAATCTCAAGAATGGCATTAGATAGATAAAAGCTGAGACCAGATATGGAAAGAGTAGGGGCAGGAGGCCCCAATTAACTATATTTTAACTTTCACTGAAAAAAAAGTTAATTATTTTAATTCAAACATTTTCTCCTGAAAGGAGTCAGATAGATGACTGTCATGACTCTATTGCTAGCAGGAAAGTAGGATATACAGAGGCAAGACACTACTAATTTGAGGTGGAGAGCATATATTTTAAATTAAATAAATTAAAAATATGATTAAAAATTGCAGCCCAGCATTGTGACAATGTCACAATAAATAATTGCTTATTTTTTCAACAATTCTCATTTTTTTACACATAAACATAATAGACATACAATTAAATTAAAATATTTAAATTAGCTTTATAAACAGTTGGATATTATGTATAACATTATGTTATGTTGTATACGTATTCATCATTAAAGCAATGCATGTAATTATTGTATAGTAATAGCTGCATTTAAACTCAATACTGTATAACTGTTTAATCATTCAAATACTATTTGGATTTGAAGAATTTTGAAAAGTGTTAATTATGTGAAATAATTGATAATACTCATTTATACAGATAATTAATAATCATTTAATTAGAAAATAGAACAAAAATTTTGCTTTCTCTTTTGTAAGATAATATATAATACATCTATAAATAATGTTTGGTTCCATTTTATAGCATTTCATATACATTTGAAACTTAATATATAACAAGATTTAGTTGTAATAGAATATCAGCATTAACCCAGATATTAAACTAAACATTAATCATCTTGTTGAATTTCTAGATTATTAATTGAATATAAATTTAATTAATAATTAGAATAATTTGGCATTATAAGTAGGCTTGTCACCATTTATTAATAATTTTAATTTAACAAATTACATTAATTAATTGAATAAATTTAGAAATCTTGTAGAAGAACAGCTCAAAATAGGATTCAAATCTGTAATGCAATGTTGTATATAATACATTATATAAATTGCATCATAGTGATTTAGGCATTATGCATTAAATTGTCATTCTGTATGAAGCAGGTTCATAATTCAGTAAGTGAACATTTCTTCAATTTTAGTCTTTATTCAGTTTTAATCTCTTTTTAAATTAATATCTGAAAATAGTTCTAAATACCAGTGGCGGTCAGTGACATTTGATGATAGGGAAGCTGTGCCAACCCTGGATAGAATCATTGGAAGCATTATATGATATTTTGGTGTGTAGCTTGTGAATGCTACACACCAAAATATCATATAATGTAAAATATCATATAATAAACCAAAGGTTGGTGCTCTGTAAAGCATATGTCCGAATGCGTATAATCTGACTGCTTTACACTATTCAAATATTTTTGCTGTGGAAGCTGTCCCGTATTCGACAATACAGCGCTTCCTTTGGGAATATGCATATACGAATTTATATTTGAATATACAATAGCAATCTTATTATTTTTTTCACATGTTGTATAGAAATTTGTAATAAGATACATAATGCGGTTATAATAAAATATTAATTTTAATTTATTCAAAGTGCATTAAAATATGAAAATAATCACACAATATGTATTTATATTTTAGAAAATACAATGGAAGCGGCACTTTCACAGCTTCCATGGACGGCACACCAGTGCTAAATACAAAAGTAACAAGGATACTGGTCATATTTTAAGTTAATTGGGTGCATATCAGGTTTTGTGCATATTGCCTTCTGATGTCAGGTCATGATATAATATTGAAAAAGATTTAGATATACAGTGAAACCTCAATCTATTGTTTTTGGCAGGACTTGACAGAAAAAAGACTGATGCAGATAAACAATTGACATAAGAAATTTATGACATCAATGTTTTTATTGTTTATCTCATATGAAACATGTATTTTCCAGTGTTATGCCTATATGATTGTTTTCTGTAATACTAAACGATATGGCACTTGTGCACAAATGTGCATTTATTCTACATTTTAAAAAATTGTTAAGAATTCTGTAATTTGTTCTATTGTCTTTCGGTAAGAACACCTAATGTACTGATATATCAGAGGCAGCCAATCAGAAAAATTTGATATTGTGTAAAAATACATTACTTATATGATAAACAATAATGATATATAATGAGTGCATTTGCCATTAGTAATAAATCTGAAGACATCTATGTTGGTATAGAAGATTGTGGAAAAGTGCATTTTTAAGTTTTTGGATAATCAGTTCAAAATATATTTTTGTATGTCATAATCTTCATTTTGAGTACCTAATATGCATATAATTTATAATGGCAGCCATCTTAACTTCTTTTTTTCAGTAATTGGAATCTTTCTGTACTAGTGCTGTAGCAACTAACTTAAAGCAGAAATGTCATAACTGTCTTTTAACAAAGTGGATTTAAGCGGTTTTACCAGAAAATGCACCCAATATGTACAATAAAATAAAATACATTTAATTGCTTTGTAAATAATCACAAGAATTAGTTAGGAAAAGACAATAATCTGTCTGTCTTTTGGCATGATTACAATATTTATAGTACGGTAATACTATTAGATAAGTACAGTATACTAAGAAGATAATTTGTTTAGTTTTGTAAGCAAACATTAGCTTGTGTATGAAACTTTTTAACTTTTAAATATTGGGAGCTTTTATTATTAGTATATGAAAATCAGTGTCTCAATTTAGCACCCTCTATTGTGGGCAGACTGATTGATGTAGGATATTTTTCTTTTAGTTAAAATATAGAACAAACATGAGAGAAAACGAATTATGCAGGAATATGGGAAAAATTAACATTATATATATATTGTGAGTCTAAAAATGAGATAGCCATTATGCTAATGTTTTAACAGTTTAATATTTAATACTTCATTTTTCATAGAAAAAATTATTTATAAAAACTACAGTGAAACCTTTATATATTGTTCCCTTATAAATCGTTTTTCCTATCTATCAATTGTTTTCTCCAGTCCCAAATAAGAACCCGTATATATATATAACTGTAGTTTTTATAAATAATTTTTTTAAGAAAAATGAAGTATTAAATATTAAACTGTTAAAACATTAGCATAATGGCTATCTCATTTTTACAGACTCACAATACTACTGGAAACTTTCTTTAGTATTTCCTAAGAATTTTTGAAACAACAGATTGAAAAAATTAAAAAATTTATTCTTTATTTATATTTTAAAATTTTTGTACTCTAATTAGACAGACTCTGATCAGATCAGAATAAGATAAAACATAAAAGTCATTCTAGTGATGATCCTATTTGGCAGAAACACTATTATTCTTTTATATTAAAGTTTCATAAAATGTTGATGTTTTAAATTATCTGAATAAGATCTTTTAGTTCATATTAAACAAGTATTATTGTTTATAAATATATGTATTAAATAATATACAAGAAATATTATCTTTCTAATTTTTTACTTTCCCAGCATTATATATAATGGAAGAAAAGTATGGCTATCAGTCAATAAATGACACTCCCAGATTTTTACATTTTTGGTCTCAAGACTTTGAAATGTTGAGAAATGCAAAAAAATTTGGGGTCTTTTCTGTAGTGTGGATGTTAGTATTCTGTAGTTAGGATGTTAGTGTATGTGGGGGGGGGGCACAATTTTGTTAACCTTCTTTGAAGCTTAATTACACCTGTGCTTTTTGGTGACATTTTCTGAAATTTTGCAGGGAGATTTGTGTATTAGGGGATTATGCTATTAAATTTTGGTGGTTAAAGGTCAAAGGGTAGGACATAAAGTGTATGTCATAGTTAAACTATGGCATGCACTTTATTCTGTATTATTTAAGGTAAACAAAGCAGAAAACTTTTTAAGGCATTTAATTTTTGCATTTTCTCTATACTTTCATTACAATGCTTACCATCTTTTACACTTAAATCCTTCAATTATTAATCCTTGTAGCTTTAATAATATTTGACTACATTAACATATTTAAATTTAAAACATCCACTTATAGTTTATATAAGTCAAAATTTACTTTCTGTATTAAGTTGTTTTTAGAGTTCTACTTCATCTTCAGATTCAAACATAATAATTAGAGTACAAAAATTTTTAAATCTAATAAAGAATTAATTTTTTAATTTTTTCAAGTAATATTGTGAGTCTGTAAATAAGCAATATTGCAATATTTAATGGGAATGTTTTATTATTTATAGTTGTATTATATTACAAAACTATCTTTTAATGGTTCTTATTATTTTTATTCATATACTGTTCAGCCTAATAATTCATATCACAAATGTTTGAGATTTTATTACAATTATTCATGCTTCACTATCATAATCATGATTCTAAACAATGCTATTAATTATAAATATTATTTTTAGCCTTTTATAGCATCAACAAGATTTGTGTGCCAATTTAATATTGAAGGTAGAGTAAGACAAGTCAATGCTCAATTACTAGGTGACACCATTTATTGTGAAAAAATGGTGGTAAGTAATTTGATGATATTATTTCTATAAATTTTATTCTCTATAAAAAATAAATGTTGATAATAATTGAAGTTTCAATCATTTTAACTGCTTTATTTTATTATTATAAAATTAAATTTTTCCTACTGCTTAATATATATTAAGTTTATCCACAATAACATATTAAGTCAGTGGCGTAGCGTAGTGGGGGCAGCAGGGGTGGCACTTTTAGGGAACGGCAAAATTTCACAATAAATAATAATATCTTGTAAAAATTTGAACCATTTCATTTCGTATTTTTGTTGCACCTATGATTCGGATGGATTGAAATGAGCATGGAATTTTTCAATACGTATTCTGTGATGAAACTGAATTTTAGTCTTTTAAATTGAGATACTTAAATTAGGGGGCAGCGAAATTTTCTTCCTTTCCAGGCAGCTGACACCCATGCTATGCATTTGTATTAAGTTTAATGCATTCTTGTGGGTCTAGATCTTGAAGGCATTTTATATTGTGCTAGATTAATATTTATGTCATAGCATGTACATTCTATAAAGTGTAAGTTCTAGAGTCTATTTAAAAATTTATTTAAAACAAAAAGTTGAATGCTTTTTGATTATTTGAATACTTTTTATTTAATTGTGTAATAATTAAATAAATTATTAGCCAATAAATTAAAATATTAAAACTTTCTATTTAATTTACATAAATTATTTTTCAATGAAACTTAAATCATAAGGTTTTTTATACAGTATTTTAATATAAAAATATTACATATATAAATATATAATTTTGTGCATGAATAAAACACCATATGAATACTAAATAAAATGGATAGAAACATAATCAAATGATCACCTTAAATAATCAGACTATAACTCTGCTAATTTAATGATTAATACTAAGTAATTTTCTACTAGAAGTAGATTTCAGCCTGGACATCTCGAAGGCTTTCGATAGTGCCTGGTGGCCCCTGGTTACCTACCAGCTGCGCAACATCAGAAGAAAAGAACTGGCCTGGGGCAAGGCTTAAACTCTCAATCTTGCCAGTTGCACCACTCAGACCAGAGCAAGTGTTTGCTTTCAGATGTACTTAAATTGAGATATAACCTTATGCCACAGCCTAAATACAACTCCACAATGGCACTAATCCAGCTAACATTTCACCTGGCAAGGTATATATATAGAGCTTCACGATGTTTGATATTCTCAAATAATTAATCTGACATGATGATAAGAACTCTTATGACAATGAATTATCAAGCATTTACTGTATCAGAATTTTTTGTAAATAACTTACCAAAATTTGCAAGACAGGTTTATCAACAATTTCACCATCTAGTATTCTCTATTTAAATGAAAAAAGTAATAAAACTTATTAATTTATTATTATACAATTAAACAGAATTTAATGATATTAAAATATATTAATTAATTAGTTAATTTTTAACTAATGAAATTTTAAAATGACAAGAACATAAAAAATATTCAAATTATATACCATGTGACCCAATTTATGCCAATACCACATTCTCGAAAACCTCTTGTAAGTCAATCTTATTAATAGAAATAAGCTTTTCCNATTTCCTTCTGTTTGTTATATCTACGGAGACTTGAGAGACTCTATGTGGTGATTTCTTGTAACCGTGAACAAATCAAAAGACGAGATAAGATTAACGAGAACATTAATAGCTTACATACATCTGACTTGGATTTTAGACAAATTGCGAAATTATACCCTGACTTACGCGGTTATTGCTCGGTCCCACCTATTGCATAAGTTCGGGGTATCACTGTACTTAAAATGGATAAAAAATTATTAAATTAATATTTGCTTTCTTTTATATTTACATATATAATAATTTGAATTCACAGCACTTTATTTTATTTTACAGTTTCAATATGGGACTCAAGCACCAAACATTACAGCAACATTTGCTGTGATTTGGGAAGGAACTAAACCACTTGATAATCCAGAAAATATTCGAGGTGAGTTTGCCTTGAGTATGTAGATTCAAGTTTCAAGTGATGAAAAGCTTCAGACTGATTCTATATTTAAGATCTAAGCTTACTTTTGAAATAACCAACCACCTTAGAAGTCCAGTATTTACTAACATTAATATTTTTGGGCTGCAGTTTTCAAATTGCTGACCTATAGATTCCTACTTACATCTGTTTGTCTTTTCTTAATCTTTAGAACAGAGTTAGATAGATAAAAATTGGGACTAGATATGGAAAACTTAAGGACTGATCAACTATATTAACTGATTAACTATATATATATGAATTTCTGGTCTGGATTAGAAGTTACATAATTTTTTATTGGTTTAACTTACTCTTGAAATAACAACCACCTTAGAAATCCAACAAATACTGTTTTTGGTCTTATTTAAAGATCTGAAGAGTACTGAAGAGGTACTCATCACAACTTAAAAAAAGCCAGAAAGTAGAATGATATAAATTAAAATATTTAACTTGAATACCAAATAACATTTTAAAATTGTGACAAGCAGTTAAGGCCTTTCAATAAGATCAAAAATGTTAGTGTTAGTAAATATTTGTGTTTGCTGGATTTCTAATGATGTTATTTCATTAATATTTATCCAGTTATTGATAAGAAATTACTGCTTAAGCTTAATTTTTATCACATCTTCATTAGAGCATTTTTTTCATAGTTTACTTATTGTAAAATTTTTTTATTAATGTTATCTGTACTTCTTTATCTCTTATTTCTAGTTAGTATTTATAATTAAATAATTTATTTAATTAAGCTTGACCTAGGCTCCTGAAGGATGCCAAAAACGTTTGCTACTGTATAAATTAAAAAACATTATCCTGCTGGAAAATTTTGTAGTGTTCATTTCTTGTTATTGTGTAAAAGTTCCAGCTTTTGAAATATTTCATAATTTTCTGATAATGCTTACTTATATAATTTTATTCAGTAATTCAGTAATGAGATTTTTTGATTATCATATTTTATCAATGTTACCTGTAATTGCCCTTTCTTAAAAATTCATAAAACTCTTAAAATATAAAATTTAAAATAAACAAATTAGCAAAATTGTATAATTCTACAAATCATGCAACCTATATACATTTTTTCTGTATTTTCTTAAATTAAAATTATTCAATTAAACAGTGTCTTTTGCTCTAAGTTTCTTTTGTCTATTTTCAAATCTATAAATTGTAAAAAATTACAAGTAATGGAGGATAATAACCTGAACAAATTATTTAATCAAATAATGTTGTATACTGAAGTTGGAAACTAATATTTTAAAAAATATTTATAAAAAAATAAACCAGAAAAATGAAGTTATTCATCTCTTTTAATTATTATGATCTTGATCTTTAATAATAGATTCTAAATATTTTATTTAACTAAATAACTAAAATTTCAATTCTTATTTTCTAAACTATGTGTATATATCATCATTATTATATATTTAACAATTACTTTTATAGTCTTAGTCTATAAATGTGAAGGAATGGCAGATAATTGTGGGGAATGTCTCGAATTACCTGAAAAATATGCTTGTGGTTGGTGTCAAGATAGACCTGCCTCTTGTCAAGTTCATGATCAGTGTAGTGACGGAAGTGCTACAATGTGGTTAGACAGAAGACAAACATGTCCTGATCCTAAAATATTAAGTGTAAAATCAATTTTATATTACTAGTTTTTTTATTTTTGTTAAGATTCATATAACTCATGAGATATGATTGTATACAGTTTAACCCAGAATCTGGACCTTGGGAAGGTGGCACAAATATAACCATTGAAGGAATCAATTTAGGAAGAATTTTTGATGATATTGCTGATGGAGTTAGAGTTGTTTATGATGTAGATGGTAGGACAATTTCAGAATGTCTTCCTCATCGAGAAGGATATTTAAAAACTAGCAGGTATGTTTCGGCATTATGAAGTTAAATTATTAAAATTATTTACATTGTAAGTTTATTTTATTCATTAAATATTACAATATTTAATAGTATCTAGATTATGTTTTATAATTCATTAAGTTGATTAGCTTTTTGCATTATCTTCAAATGCAAAACTTGTAATTTTAGCTAGATTAAAGAATATGCTGAATAATCACATTTACATTAATTATTGAATATATGTTTTAATATTAAATATTTATCACATGCGTTAATATTTATTTAATATTCAAAAAATTGGTTGTTATATTTTAAAGCATTTGATGTTTATTTATATTTTAAAGAATTGTTTGTCAAGTAGAAAGACCTCCAAATCTTACAACAGGACTAGTTGGAGGACCAATATCTGGACCAATTGTTGTTAGAGTACAGAATGATTATACTGCACGTTCAAAAAAGCATTATTCTTTTGTGGTATGTCATTTATTCCATCATGTATGTTTTAAGGTTTTGTGTAATAATTTAAAATTCAAAATGTTTGTTATATTAGTAATAAATTAAATAAATTGGTTATACATTTCTTAATTTGATGTATTTTTAAAGTAAATAAGTTTGTACAATATAGCTTATAATTTATTATTTGAAAATGGAGTATATTTATAGTTATAGTTTCAATAGTTCTGTAAAAAAAGTATTTTTTGGATGTTTTTAAAAGTGTTAAGTTTATAAAATTTACTTTTCTGAAGGGAATTATGTAGAAAATTTAGTTTCAAAGAATTCTATATATGAAAAATGAATCTCTACTTACCAATTTGTTAAGAAATTGGAGAAACAAGCATCAGAAGAAACAGACTATAAATACTATATATATAATTCATATTAATTAAGGAAGAAAATATTTGAAAACATTTTCTTCTTATATGAAATTCATCACAACAGAAACAATATTTTTTCTTTATCATAGATTATAAAATTTCATGTGATATAGTATTGATATTATGTTGTGATTTTATTTGTTTAAATGTATTAAAGCAGTGTTTTTCAACCTTCTTCAATAAGCGACCCCTTTACAAGTTAAAAAATTCTGCGACCCCCAGGGCCATATTAAAACTATGTCAGTGATTTTAAAAACTACGTATTTAAGTTTCTTTCTGTTGAGACATAAATATCGATCAAAAAAACCAATTGTACTGTAAAATAAACAGGCACAGCCTTCTCACTGAGATTGTAGTTTTTTTATTATAGTGTAGGACCTATAAACACTTGTTTTTTTCTTTTACCCACGACCCCCTGTGTAAGGCTTTGTGACCCCCCCTGGGGATTGTGACCCGCAGGTTGAAAAACACTGTATTAAAGCATATATACAGTAAACGTGATTGAAATACCTAGAAATTTTTGAGGAATGAGTGTTTCTTATAAAAAAAATCTTAAGTTTTCATTTTTATAAATTGCTTGAATATATTTGGTATAAGAATATGAGAGTTCTTTTTACTTGAAACTCCAACTGCATATGGAATCTATAAATGCATATGAACAATCACAAATGAAGATAAAAACTGATCATTTATAGCTTTTAGACTCTAGCATCTATTTTCAGAAGAGGTTATTTTTAAGAACAAATTTTAAAACAAACAAAAACTTAACTTCTAATTTTAAATGCTTCTGTAATTTAATTTTAAAAAACATATGCTTGTTAGTTGTCCATTATTAGTGTCTTATTAGTTTTTCTGATAAAAATTAACTTTCAAACAAAAATCTAGTCAGAAATCTAAATAAAAACTGTTCCTGTTAATATTTTATTAACTACTTTAAACATTCTTATTCATTGTTATATTTAATATCTCTAACATTCCTTTCTTTTAATTGGTTTAAAAATTTTTTCAGTTTTTTATTATTTAGTGAGATTTCTTTTGAAATTGTTAAATTTTAGTTTTTGCGTCAATAAAATTTAAATTCTAAATTTATCTATTACTTCTCAAATACATTTAATAACAATTTTTTTGTTTACAATGCATTATTAACCTCTCTATAATTTTAAAATTACTTAAATTAAAATAAAGTTATAATTATTCAGCACAATATTTTTGGATTTTACTAGTATTTAATATAGTATTTTTATATTATTTAAAATTACAAAAAATCTTAGTTTAAAAAAATAGATTTTATTTTCATAGAATTTACTGTTGATTTAAATTTTGTAATTCAAAATGACTACATGTATATTATAATCTAAAAAATATATGAAACTTTTCAACTCTATTTTTGAATTAGTTAAATTAGATATAAAGTGCTTAACTAGTTTAAAGCCATGTCAGATATATTAAAATAGAAATAAAATAGATATGTTTGGCATTTCTATAATTTTAAAATGAGAGTTGAAAACTTTTGCATATGTTTACAGTTATTTTTTGATAGTGTAAGAAAAATCTTTTAATTTTTATAACAGCTGGATATTCAGGGCATCAAAATTATTATTCTCATTGCCTATGGGCTAGTTAAATCCATGATGGGCATACAAAAAGATCTCTTAGTACTAATAGTTGAAAGGATTTTAAAAATTCCATAATAATTCTCAATTTTCAATTTTATAATTTGAAAAAAATTATATTAAGTTACATAATTGCATTAATGGTTAGTTATGTTTGTAAAATTGGAATATTTATATATGTAGAAAAATTTAGTATTTATTATAATTATACTGTATATATGTAATGATTAAAATATGTAATAATAAAAAATCAATGTTTTGAATTCAGAATCCTCGTGTTACTTCTATTGAACCTACTAAAGGACCAAAATCAGGAGGTACTCTGCTTAAAATTTGGGGACTCCACATGGACGCTGGTAGTTATGCAGAAGCTTTCGTAGATGGTTTGCAATGTAAAGTTATAAGGTAAATAAATTTTTTTACATGAATAATAATTTAGGAAAGTATACAAAATTTAAATGAAGAACATAAGTGTATGCTATAATATGAAATTTAGTTTAATTCAATGTAATTTCATTTGCTAAATTTATAATTTTTAAAATTATAGGAAAAACTAAGTGAAATGTTTTAAATAAAATAGAAATTATTATATAATTATACAGAAAACTAAGCCCAAATTATATCAGTAATCAAATGATCAGTTATATGAAAAAAAGCCTACATGAAAATTGCATACAGAAAAATATGTACATATATTAATTTTTATATAAGTGTAAAGATGTATCCACAATTTCAAGCATAGTAGACATTTATAATTGTAAATAACCATTTATTTCCCATCTATAAAGATGAATAGGCAGTGCTGTAACTAGCTTTTTATGCTGTGTGAGATTTTATTTTTGATTTCCTTTTTAGAAAAAAATAGATAAATAAACAAATACAATAGAAATGGTGAATTAATTTTTAACTTTAACCAAAAACATTATGTAAGAAACTAACCCCCATGGTGAAAAAATTTTAAAATGAAAATATAATAATAGTAATTTTTTCATACCACATTTCAGGACTCCCTTCATCTTAGGCATTGTGCTTGTGCACCTGTTGCACCTGCCTAGTTATGGAACTGTGACTAGGTATTACTTATATTTTAAATTGTTGATGATATCTTATGACTGAAATATTTCATTTTCATATGCAACAATTTGCATTGTGATTTTTATCAGGTATAATTAAACAATAATTTTGCTATGTTATAAATATATTAATTTATTGCTATATGAAAATGGACTGTGTATGAAGATGGCTTTAGTGCTGTTGAGTATAAATGTTTGTAAATACAGAAAATAAAAGTGAACAGTTTTTATCAACAAACTTCAATTGAGACCCATGTTGGAACTAATAGGAAAGGGGTTTCCTATTAGTTCCAGCATGCCATGATTCTATGAAATCATTGTAAAAAACAAATTTTTAAAAGATCTTTTACAACTACAAGTATCAAAAATTTTTTTATTTATGCTTTTTTTCTGGAAGGAAAATAGGCAGATTTTTTTAAATGAGATTAAATTCTAAATAAAAATATAACTTTTTTAAAATAAAATTAAATACTTTAAATTTATTTAATCCTCAATATGTCAACTTTTTTATGTCAGTATGAAATTATTTAAAGTAAAGACAGAAAGATATTATTTTAAATTATGTGTAGACTGTCTATACACAGCTTTTTAACAACTTTGAAGAATTTTAAGGCATATAGGCTTAAAATTCTTCAAATATTTAATATTTATTTATTTTGTTATTAAAAAATTAAAACCATAATATATCATTTAAATCAGTTGATTTTGTAGCTCAATTTCCCTTTACTTGAATTTTAACAAATATATTGTATTACATCAAGTGACCATGGCAAAGGACTAATTGACTGTAGTAATAAAAACAAGCTATTTAATAATGAAAAATTTTATTCTTAATGAAAGAGAAAACTTGCAGAGAACAGTGGCAAATGAACTATACNAAAATTCTTCAAATATTTTGTTATTAAAAAATTAAAACCATAATATATCATTTAAATCAGTTGATTTTGTAGCTCAATTTCCCTTTACTTGAATTTTAACAAATATATTGTATTACATCAAGTGACCATGGCAAAGGACTAATTGACTGTAGTAATAAAAACAAGCTATTTAATAATGAAAAATTTTATTCTTAATGAAAGAGAAAACTTGCAGAGAACAGTGGCAAATGAACTATACCAAACACCAACTGACAATGAATGGCTACAATCACCACAATCACCATCCCACACAAAGAGAGATGCACTGAACTTTCAATTTTTTATGATTTCCATTTTTAAAAAAATAATTTTTTATGCTAATAAGAATACTGCATCTTTGAATTTCACTTTAGCATGTACATAATTTAGATTTTTGGACTGCAATTTGAAAAAATTGTAGATCTATAAATTCCCACTATTGTTTGTCTGTCTGTCTCTCTTTCCTTAATCTCAAGAATGGAGTTAGATAGATGAAATCTGATACCAGATATAGAAACCTTAAGGGCAGGAGGCCCGATTAACTATATTCAAACTTCTGATGAAAACTGGAAGTCACGGTATTTCAATTCAGAACTTTTCCCTGAAAGCAGTTAGATGACCAGCACAACTTTATTGTTAAAGGATGTACAGTACAGGATCAAGACACTACAGTACTAATTTGAGGTGCAGAGCATATATTTTAAATTGATGATGATATCTTATGACTGAAATATTTCATTTTCATATGCAACAATTTGCATTGTGATTTTTATCAGGTATAATTAAACAATAATTTTGCTATGTTATAAATATATTAATTTATTGCTATATGAAAATGGACTGTGTATGAAGATGGCTTTAGTGCTGTTGAGTATAAATGTTTGTAAATACAGAAAATAAAAGTGAACAGTTTTTATCAACAAACTTCAATTGAGACCCATGTTGGAACTAATAGGAAAGGGGTTTCCTATTAGTTCCAGCATGCCATGATTCTATGAAATCATTGTAAAAAACAAATTTTTAAAAGATCTTTTACAACTACAAGTATCAAAAATTTTTTTATTTATGCTTTTTTTCTGGAAGGAAAATAGGCAGATTTTTTTAAATGAGATTAAATTCTAAATAAAAATATAACTTTTTTAAAATAAAATTAAATACTTTAAATTTATTTAATCCTCAATATGTCAACTTTTTTATGTCAGTATGAAATTATTTAAAGTAAAGACAGAAAGATATTATTTTAAATTATGTGTAGACTGTCTATACACAGCTTTTTAACAACTTTGAAGAATTTTAAGGCATATAGGCTTAAAATTCTTCAAATATTTAATATTTATTTATTTTGTTATTAAAAAATTAAAACCATAATATATCATTTAAATCAGTTGATTTTGTAGCTCAATTTCCCTTTACTTGAATTTTAACAAATATATTGTATTACATCAAGTGACCATGGCAAAGGACTAATTGACTGTAGTAATAAAAACAAGCTATTTAATAATGAAAAATTTTATTCTTAATGAAAGAGAAAACTTGCAGAGAACAGTGGCAAATGAACTATACCAAACACCAACTGACAATGAATGGCTACAATCACCACAATCACCATCCCACACAAAGAGAGATGCACTGAACTNTTTTTTTTCCTTTATTTTTTATTAATGTAGATAAAAATAGTAATTTAAATAAAATAAACAATATTTAGAAAACATAAAAATTTTTCATTTTTAATTGTAAAAATTTCATTATATTTTAGTGGTGGTATAACTATATCCGTCCATGGAACTAATTTAAATGCTGTAGAAGAACCTAAAATGTATGTTTTAGTGGATGGAGAAGAGTATACAAGTGTAAGTTACTTTATTTAAATATGTTTATAATTTCATTAAATTTTTTCACATTTTGTTGTATTAAAAATATTTGAATGACATTTTTTTTGTCTTTTTCTGAGTAATATTGAATAAATTATATAAGTTTTGTTAAAATTAGCTAAAGGAAAACAATAGAAATTAATAATAAATATTTTATTAATGCACTTTTATAAAATACAGTGAAATTTAGTTATAACAAACACAGATATAAAGAGTTCACAGTTATAACAAGTAAAACACCATAACAATTTTAATTTTTGAATATTTCCATACATTTTCTTACAGTTATAGCAAGTATGCTTCATTGATGTACTGAGCAAATTTTTGGTATCTATGCAAACACAAACATTCTTAATTATTCAAGTAGTAAGAAATGCAATACCAAATTCTTGGAAGAGATAAAACTGAAAGTGTTATTTAGTTTTATGACCACTGGATAATTAGTTTTACAACTTGCATCGACTACAAGCCTATCTATCACTTAACTATCCTTTTGGAAACCATCTCTTTTTTCTTGACTAGTCTGTAAACTTCGTGAGGAACGTGGTCTATGGTTTCAGATACACAAGGAAAAGAACAAAGGGAAGGACAATGAACAGTCGGTGGAAACGTGTAACTAGACAAACAAAAGTTTATTTTAGTCGAAAAATGCGGTACAATATTAATATCAAGATACATTTCAATACTGGACACATATAGCATAACAATAACAAAATTGCTTGATATTCCCCCTTCCAAAATTCTTTCCTCACACAAGGCTCTGCTTTGCCCAACAAGTAATATAGATCTGACGGATAAAAAAATTTTTTACAAATAAATTTTGGGAAACAGAGTACCTAAGGGACTTGACAAATTTCTTCCGTAACGGTATAATCATTGGCTTCGATGGAGACAGATTTTCTTTTAGTGCTGCACTTTTTGAACTCTATCGACAGTCGACTCTCTTCACGGGAAGGAGAGACAATACTCTTTACGTATTGTCTCTCCTTCCGTCCACGGCGTACTCTCTTGAAGAGGAAACCAAAAGTGCTTTTTTTTATCCATTACATATGCTTTTATAACTCCCTCCAACTATGTCACTCTGTCCCACATGGTCCTGTCACAGACCAATGTGATGTCGGAAAATCCAGCCATTGGCTAACAGGTGGTATCGAGGAAGGAAACAGAAAAGAACGGTACAAAACATACACGCGACGTGACATAAATGGAAAACAAAAGAAAAAAATATATAATACAATAATAGCCATGAAGTGCTACAAGTTTCTGGCCCTACTCTGTCAATTTACCTAATCATCACTATGATTGTAAGATTACCATATACTCTAGTTAGAATACATATTTTTATGGAATTACAGTTTTACAGAATTGTAATTTTATAGAATTACATATTTGTTTAATTTTTTTTTTTGAATCAACCTATTTAGAATTAAAATTAAAAGATAGATTTCACTAATCATCAGTGGTGTAACTACATATTTTTCTGCCTGTGGGGCTCCCCTTACATGTTTGCGCTTGAAGGAGTTGCCCATTCTCCTCCTAGTTATGTGACTCCTCTTCATGGATATAACAAGTAACAGTTATAATAAGGAAATCTTGCCAGTCCTCTAATGCTTGTAATAACCGAATTTGACTATTGTAATGCAACAGCTAACTTACATTGAACATTTGTTGTAATATGAAAATATTATTTCAAGATTTTAAATTTATTATTTTTGATCCAGTAATCAATTATCTTGAGTATTAGTTTGTCATATTTAAATATTTCCATTTTGGAAACAATATATAGCATTTTTAATTAAGAAAATGTCTATTTACTGTCAGTTTTTTATTGATGTTAGTCCAGTGGTCAAAAATATATGTTCAAAATACAATTTTGCAACATCTTTTAACTATATAAATATGTATAAATTGGTTATAAATATGTATAAATTGGTAATATTTCTCTCAGTTTCTTTCTGTACACTGTTTTTAAAATGCAATTCATAGATGTCATTTTAGGAGTTCTATTCACAGAAGCTAGAACTTCTGTATATAAGTTTCAAAACATCTTTCTCTCTTTCTTCTAGCAAATTCTTTAATTAAATGAACTGAACTAATGTTTTTGGCTATCTTAAATGACCTTTAAGATAGCCAAAAACATTAGTTCAATTGATTTAATTACAGAATTTGCTAGAAGAAAGAGAAAGATGTTTTGAAACTTGTTTTAGGAGCATTAACATATTCATCCACAGATTTTTTTTTTTTTGTTGAGGGTTCCCATAAATGCTTGGTTTGTATTTCCTTGTAATGTATTCATTATAAGCATCCAAATTTTGTTATAGTCTTCATTGAAAAAAAACTCTTAAGAAACTTTTAGATAAAAATTATATGATTGTGAAATCTAAATTTGTCTTAATTTATTAGTCTATTTATCCAATTATTCAAATAAATATTTCTTGCTTATAAAACATTGCAATTGCTCTAATAAATGAACTGCTAATGAATCATTATTAACATTTTTACATTTACCACAGTTCCTTAAATGTATCTGTAAAAAAAAAAGAATTTCAGATGGATAGCATACAGGAGAACAATATTTTCTTATTTTCTGTTTACATTTGGAGCTTACATTATTAATCTTATTTTCATTTATAAAAGAAAGACACCAATATACTATATATCAAACATAATTATCAATTGAGATAAACTGTTGGAAAATAACTAAATAAATTCACATATAATTTTATAATAGTTTTATTAATATACATTGGATGTTTTAATCAAATACAATGAAGAGCAGCTAAATTAAAACACAAAACAAAAAGTTATTTCTATTTATATATATGATGCAAAAATATATAAAATTACTAAAAATTCTGTTTTTATTTTTTTATATTTATAATCATTTAGATCAGGGGTGCCCAACCTTTTTGTTTCTCTGGGCCACATTGGAAGATGTCATGGAGTTTTGGGCCACAAGTATATTATATATACTTGTGGCTCAATTCTTAAATATACTTGTATATTTAAGGATTAGCATATCTAGATTATAGTAATAAGTATTAAATCTTTATCACAAAAAAGTTACTTCTACATACACTTCTAATTTTTACTTAGAAATAGATAATGTCTCCTAATAGATAAATTCATTTATTTTATAATAAATGAATTTATCTATTAGGAGGCATTATCTAATAAAGGAGACAAACAAAAATTTATTTGAAAAACAAATATTTCTTTTATTTGGGTCTCTAATTAATAAAAAATGACAAAACACCATTTTAAAGTGCATTTTTATTCGACTAATATATTTATAAATAAAATGTAGCCCAAAAAGTAGCCAATGTGCCAAATGATAATTTTTATGCCAAACTAAAAACAGGGTAGCCAACTTTGGCACAAAGTAGCCAAATCATGCAACGCTGGAAAGAATACTAAATAAAGCCAGAGTTGGACTCAAAGGATTATAGACCCAAATGTAGAGAAAGGACAAAAGATAAAGAAGTGAGGAAGGTTGGAAAATTAAGAGTCCATATTTGCTTAACAGAAAGTCTATTTAACCTTTCTCACTACTTTATATCTTTTGGCCTTACTCTCTTTTCCCCAAATTTGGGTCTATAATTCTTTGAGTCTCAACTTTAGCTTTATTTAGTATTCCTTCCTCATTCACACATTTCCAAGTATTTGAAAATATTTCCTTTCCATTCAAAAATAAAATATGTATAAAGGTTTATGGCTTTGTGAAACTTCTTTTTTTGAATTTATGCTGTTGAAATAAATAAATAAAATAAAACAAAAAAATTTGTCGGTTTTGTTTACACATTTATTGGGCCACATTGGAACTTGCCTTGGGCCGCATGCGGACCACTGGTTGGATATTCCTGATTTAGATTATATCAAATTATCCAAATTTTTGATAATGTGGACATTTTTGTTCTAATTATTTTAGATGATTATTATGTTGTTATCTATTTTAAAAGTATGTTATTGTAACATTGCCACTTAGACACATGCATGCTTTTTTCTATGATAGAATGTATTTGTTAACATTTATTACATTGAAAACATATATTTATATGTAATTATTATTATTTTGTAACTTAAATTATTTTTTATTTAAATGTATACTGTACATTAAAATGATACCAATAACACCATAATAAATTTTTTAATAAGTATATATATAATTTAAATAATCATAAACATTTTTTATGTATTCTGTATTATAATTACATTATTTATTAAACTTAGGCTTGTAGATCTGAATCAGCTTCTGAAATGAAGTGTAAGAGTCCTGATGTTCCACCTTATAAACTACGTTTCCAAGGAGATGATGCATTGGAATTAGATTTTGGATTTATCATGGATAGTGTGGATTCTGTCAAAAATCTGAGTGGGATTCCTGGATTTCCTAAATTTAATATGTTTCCTAATCCAGTTTATTATCCTTTTACAGAAGACAATCAAATAAAGTATTATAAAAGTGATTATTTGACAATCAATGTAAGTTATTAAAATAGAACTTGTAAATAATAACAATAATAATTTTGATTTTTAAAATTCTATTTTAATAAATTTTATATTACAGGGTCGAAATCTCGATCGGGCATCACAAGAATCAGATGTCATTGTTCGTATTGGAACAAGTTATTGTAATGTTACTTCTTTGTCTCGATCTCAGTTAACTTGCAGACCACCAACAAAACAACCACCAGCTCGTGATCCCCATGGTCATCCTGACCCAAATAGAATTCCTCAAGTAGTTGTAAGTAATTTATGACACATTTTTTAATGTCTGTGAGTTTTAAATTTACTTTCAAATGGTTCTCTAAATCTATTCCTTCTTACAAAAACACAAAATATTTCTAAGAATGGAAATTTCTATTAACATAAAAAATTTTTTGAGCCATCTTAATGACAATTAAACCGTAATACAGTTATTCTTTTATTTTATATAAATGTATTATTTTAAAACTTTTAGGTGGAAGTAGGAACTAGTCTGAAATATACAATTGGACGTTTAAGCTATGAGTTACCATCAAATCAAGATAGTACTCTTTCTAGATCAGTAATTATAGGAGTAATTGTTGGAGGAGTTATTCTTGTAATCATAGTCATAATTATACTCATTGCTTATCGAAGAAAATCCACTGAAAGCAGCAGAGTTTTAAAAAATATGCAGGAACAAATGGATGTTTTGGAATTAAGAGTTGCTAGTGAATGTAAAGAAGGTAAATAATTTCTTTCAAAATGTATGATTTAAATAAGCTTTATAAATTTAAAAATGTTTTAGTCTGTATTTTTTTTAATAAAAGTAATTTTTATATTTAATTATTAAAACCAAATTCACTAATTAAAAAATAAGATGCATAAATATTTCATGATGATCTAAATTAAATATAACCTAAACATCACTGAATTTTTTTGACTATAACTCTTTGATGTTTTTTAAAAATTACAGAATTATATCCCAAGAAATTTAGTATTATTTGGATTATGTTAGATGTATTTTGGGCTATTGTATAGTTACATATATGTAATTAAATAAAATTTAAATTTTAGCATTTGCTGAATTACAAACTGAAATGACAGATCTTACAAGTGATTTAACTGCTGGAGGAATACCATTTTTAGATTATCAATCTTATGCTATGAAAGTTTTATTTCCTAACACTGATGACCATCCAGTACTAAGAGAAATGCAAGTAAGTTGTTATAATAAAAATGAAATTGAATGTATTTGTATATTTTTACCTGTTCCTTAAATTTTAAAATTTTAAGATTAAGTTCACAACTTTACTTTTATTGCTGAAATATTCAAATTTTTCTTAACAGAACAATTTATATCTTTATGAATACAAAATACAAAGTTTGATAATTAAATTTTGGTATTATCTGAATTTAAAAGGAACTTTATTTTAGAATGGAAAAAATCTTTTAATATTGTTTAAAATAGTATCCTGTAGAAACTACACACTTTTTCACATACTCATGAAATTTTCAGAAACGTTTTTAAAATCTCATCATCTTAAGTTACATTACAATTGATGTCAACTATATCCTCAAATTAGCTATCTATTAGTATTTTATTTCATTTTGCAGAATAAGAAATAGACTACGAAAAATAAGAAAGATGGTTTAATTCTGTAAACTGCACTTTGCCAAAAATTTCTTATTGCTTTAGAATGAATTTATGCATTGTTGTGAAGCAGAAATCTGTTTGTGCTTACAAGTAAGAATCTATTTGGTCCACCAGGGGACTTACCTTAGACAAAAGGTTGACTTTGTCTCACCTCAGCAGTTTGGGTCTTATCATCACATATGGAATCTTGTCTGAATCAAATCCCTTTTTCCAAAATCTGAGACTTATTCAACAGATTCCTTCATTCAAATCAATAATATCAGCATTGTTTTGACTTTTAAAATTGAAATTTTTTCTTATTTATTGTTATTTTATATTACCAAACATATTTTATTTTTTTTCTCTCATTTTTATTCAATTTACAATTAATTTAATGTTAATTCTTTGCTGAATTACTATAAACAATGTACTGATTTACATATTTATATTATGTAAATCAGTATGTAAAATTACTAATGACTGCATAAGAATAATAAATGTATATGAATGCAATTTTAGAAGAAAACATATTGCTTGGCTTTGAAAAACATAAAATCATGTTTCTGTGCTTTTACACAATGTGTTGTTTATAATGAAAATCATTTTTAGAACTTAACTGACAAACTTTAAAATTAAAATAAATGTAAAAAATAATTTTTATTAGAATTCTCAAAATGCTGATAATTTTATTTAGTTAACTGATTTATTTAGAATTGTTTTTATATAACAAAAGTGATTAGTAAAATAATTTTTTTGTCAGTTTAGCCTTATATAAAAATGATTATTTTTTAATGTGGCATTTTTTTGCATACATTGCAAGACTTTATATGTATATATAAAATCTTACAAGATTGATTACAATGCATAAATCAATGTATAAAAATGTATACACATATACATATAAAATCTTACTTTTATATTGTTTAATTATATTGATCATTGACCAATTGAATTTTATAACATATATATTAGATGTGTATACATTTAATTAACATTGTACTGGACATTGTAATCAATGAACTTTATTCATGCATTGCAGTATGTTTGGTCTGTGATATATAATTATACAATTATTTTCTTTCATTTTTTTAATTCTAAAAATAATGAAAGAAAGAAAAAGAATATTGTTTTCAATCTTTGATTTCTGAATACTGTCATTAATATTTTCATATGGTTTATTTTTATAAATTTATGTTTGTGTAAAGTTATATATTTATATTTGTTTTTTCTATTTTTAATAAGTGAAGCAAAGGTAAAATAATAAAACAAATACTTAATTAATTTATTTATTAATGCCTGTTTTTATTTATTTATTAACAGTTGGATCCATTGAAGAAACCATACATTGAAAAAGGATTACGATTATTTGGCCAACTTATTATGAACAAAATATTTCTTTTGTTATTTATTCGTACTTTGGAATCGAACAGATACTTTTCAATGAGAGACAGGTAATAAATATAGATGTATTTATAGTAATAAAATGAAGTAATGAAACTTTAATAATTATTCATATTTATTATATAATGCTAAGAACTTAATTTTCTTTGAGAAGTCAAATAAAATTTATNACAGCATCTCGTCTGCCCCGGGGCTACGACCGACGCCGAAGTTCTCACACTCCGCATCTTCGAGGGAAGAAATTAGTGAAGGACTGTCGATTGCCGATGTAAGCATATATGTTAACAAATAAACGGCTTTCTTGTGTAAAACACTTGTCGTCATTTGCCTCCTCCGTCACTGCCCACATACAACCTTCCCTTAGGTCCATCCTGACGCGGGATTAATAGATCCCACCTAAGAGACGGCATCCTTACACAGTTGCCGTGAAGTGGGTTTCAAAACCCTTTTCTTTCCCCGGATCGGCCATCTTACACTATAATTAAAGTGAGTTTAAATTTGGATATTTTTTATAACAGAATGTTTGTAAATCAATAAGTTTCAAATTGTTAGTTGTTATGGTAACAAAATGATTCTTGTTTGGAATTCAAAATATAAAATTTCTAGGATATTTAGAATATTTATATAAATATTATTGACAGCAGAACAGTCCCAAAAATATTTCAAACATATGTTATTAGACTTCTTGAAGAAGGTTTGTATGGTGTTATATGTAGGTTATGGAGTGACTGTTTCTTAGTTTAAAAGTTAATACAGCAAAACCTATCCAAAACAGAACCTGAATAAAAAAAAATCTGCATAAATGGAAAAATTCTTCAGAACAGGGTGATTTTTCTATGTTAAAAAAACTGTTCAATACAGAAACCTGCCAAACAGAAAAAACATTTTGTACTATGTGATTCCTGTTTATACAGGTTTTATTGTATTTATTATTATTTTTTATGTAATAATTAATAATTTAAACAGTTATAATTAAAAGTTAAAAATTACAGCTGATTTTATAGCATAGAGAAGAAAACTTTTATAGAATACAATTATAGAAATTGCAACTGCTTTTAATTTGTTTACCTTTGATTCTTAATTATATGATTGTAATAATAATTCATGTAAATCATGTTAACATTTTTACATTTTTTTATAATAGGATAAACTGTACTATTAGATATACATGTATATAAAACATAGGACTTATATTCTTATTATAAATGTCTTTAATTAGAACATTATATTTTATAGAGTAAATGTAGCATCTCTTATAATGGTTACACTTCAGGGAAAAATGGAATATTGTACAGAGTAAGTATGGTTTAAATGCTTTATTCAATAATTTTTAACTTTTTTATATTAATGTATAATATACAGTAGATTTTCATGCACTTCTAAATATTATAATTGAAACATAAAATGTTTATCTTATTTAATAGCATTAAATAAATTTAGAAATAAGTAAAATATTTGTTTAGATTTGAAAGATTGAAATTTTATAATTTGCCTAAGTGATTTTTTGAGCAAGATATGTACAGTGGGTGATCGGTTAACGAACATAATCTGTTCCAAGGCTTTGTTCATTAACCGATTATCGATTTACCATAGGTTTTTATGGGAATTTTATTAATTCGTTCTGGAGAATCCAAAAAATAAAAAATAAAAATTTTTTCTTACTATGTTTATTTATATGTAATAATAAAAATACATATATACACAGTCTTACATTTTTATTAGTTTTTCCGTTTTTAGTGGTTAAAGAATCTGTCCAGTGTCGATTGCTTCTCTCTCTTATTCAGGATTTTTCAGAAGTAATTAATAGCATTGTCATTTAGAGATTCCCATGCTTATTATTTTGAACCTGGTTTGGATGCCATTCTAAGATCATTATTCTGACATCCTCCTACTACTATAATACAGAAGATCTTTAATAGCAGATATTGGCATTAATCCTCTTTTTCAAAATAAAACGTATTTTGCCAAGTTTCTTGGTGTTATTCATTCAAGAGTTTTTGGCGTTCTTCTGTCGTCAGATCCGTTTCAGGTTCCATTGTGAGCTTTTCAATGTTCTTTATTTCTCAGATGTGATTTTTGTTACTCCTTTAGCTGCTTGAGTCTTCTTGATTATACTGTATCTTTTTTAGATAAGATTGAACTGCGGCCTACTGTAGACCTGTTTGAGCCATACTGCCCAGCAACATCAAACATCTTCTGTCACTCTCTACCTTTGCTATTATACTATCACCTTTTGAAAATAAAAATTGATGTGAATCTTAGAGAGTGCCCGCCTGACAGTCTTGTGAATACTATAAAAAATTTCTTTCTGTCAGAAAAATAAAAAGCCGGAATTACAAAGGAGAGTTTGAAAGTTCGGAGGAATACTATTCGATCACTATATATACCAGGTTGAAAGTCAATGTCGACGTCTCCTGTGCTCTGAAAGGTTTTGAATTGTTACTTGAAGACAAGGAAAATCAATCAGTATTCGTCAATTTCTGTCGCTTCTTTTTATGTTTGTTCAGTGAAGTGTTCATTATCCGAACATGTGTTTGTTGTCTGATCATAAAAATCTTTCGCAAAAGTGTTCGTTATCTGATTTGTTTGTTAACCGATCTGTTTGTTAACTGATCACCCACTGTGTATATATTTGTATGTATGCAAGAGTATGCACATAAATTTTAGTAAGAATAAGTGTTTGCATTCATTGTATTTTGTTTTAAGTAAAATATATTTGTATAAAGATACTTTTTTTGAAATACAGTGATCAGATTAGTTTCCTGTAGACAAGTGTTATTAGTTTTAAAAAATGTAATTTTTAATGAATATACATAATGTAATTAAGTCTTCTCACATGTTTTTGTTTTAATTGATTTCTGATATAGTTTCAGTTTTGAATTGATTTGGTTTTTTTTTTCCTTTTTAAATTACATATTTATAATAGTCATTGGTTGAATTCTGTTTTCTTGGAGTTCAGAGTTACTTAGAAGCATTCACTTTAATACTGAATTACTTTTAGACTCTTTACTAGTCTCTTCAAAGGTGATTTTGAAAATTTTACTGATTTTAAATTGTTCAACAACAGCAGTTTTAATTTTGCAAATATTACCTGAAATAATTCTCATTTGATTTTCATTTTTATGTATTTATATTTATTTCACATTAGATATTATATTTAAGCAAGATATTAATTTAAATTTAAAATTTGAAATAAAAAAAAAATAATGAATAAATTATTTGATGTGTAACTTTAGCTTATCTTCAGAGTTAGTCATCAAATGTAGAATTATATAAATCAAAATATTCGTTTTAATTTTGCTATTATTTTTAATATCAGAGGATACTACATAAAATTTCTTGAAAAATTAAATGTTTATTATTTATATTGGAATTGATTATTGTATTATAATGTCTACTGTTTTGAAAATGTCATACATTTTCCTTCTTGATAAAAGTGTTTTTATAACTAAAATCTATAATTTATATAAATGAATGTTATTGTGATCTCTTTTAAAAAATACTGATATTGCATTTAGCTATCAATGAAAAACTAAAGTTTTTATCATTTCCATTGAAAAGTTTATTATATAATTTCTTCTTGAATATGAGAGGAACTATTGAATGTATTAAATTTTTTTAAAAATTAGAAAATATAAATTGTATGTTTAATTTCTTTGTAAGTAATTAAATGATCAGATAATAATTTTTATTCATTATGTTAATATATGAATATATAGTTTAATAGTTGTTATGATAAATAAAATTTCATTTTTTTTATCATTAAAATGATTTAAAAATTGATAAGATTACTTGATATCAATAGTTAACAGTGATTTGCTTTCATTAATTAATATTTTAATTATTAATGTTTTTTATTTAGTATTTTGAAAACATTATTAGCTGAATTAATTGAAAAATGTATTGAAGGTAAAAGCCATCCAAAACTTTTACTAAGAAGGCAAGTAATTTTTAATAATTATATTTGTAATTGTATTTCTGAAGATCAAGAAATAAAAATATTTGAATAATTTTACAGGACAGAATCAGTAGCAGAAAAGATGTTATCTGCATGGTTCACATTTCTTCTTTATAAATTTCTAAGGGTAAGATTATATGAAATTTATTATTACTTCTTCAGTATAGCAGATAAAATATTGAGATGTTTATATCATTTGATTAAATCTATGTCCTCATGAGTTAAATTTTTCCTACTTTATAAAGTACAGTACAGTATAAAGTACAGTAAAAGTACAGTATAAAGTATAAAGTACAGTAAAAGTACAGTATAAAGTATAAAGTACAGTAATACCCCGAACTTACGCGATAGGTGGGACCAAGCAATAACTGCGTAAGTTGGGCTATAATTTTGCAATTTGTGTAAAATCCAAGTCGGATGTATGTAAGCTAATAAGTGTTCTTGTTAATCTTATCTCGTCTTTTGATTCATTCATGATTGCAAGAAATCACCACACAGAGTCTCTCAAGTCTCCGTAGATATAACAAACACAGAAATAAATAACACAAAATAAATTGTAGCTATGTGTTGATTCCACGCGACACGTCCAAACATGTAAGCTGAACAATAGTGTGGGGGGAGTGAGTAATCAAGAGTTGCGTGGCGCTCAAACAAAAGACAAATCGATGAGATTTGAAAATCGCGTAACTCCAGGTTTGTGTAAGTTGAGGTATTACTGTATTTAATCTCATATTCTTGTTAAATTCTAGTGAATCTTACGATAAACAATCAAACCATGCAATGAACCATTCTCACGTGCATAGAGGACTTTGTTTGAAGTTGTCTAGTTTAATTTATCATCTCTTTGTTGTTATTACACTTTTATTAATTTTAACTCTTTTTTTATATGTTTACTCATTTACTTTTTATTTATGTATATTCTATATAGTATTTGTATTTTAAGTTATTTTCAGAAGTAATTAATAGCATTGTCATTTAGAGATTCCCATGCTTATTATTTTGAACCTGGTTTGGATGCCATTCTAAGATCATTATTCTGACATCCTCCTACTACTATAATACAGAAGATCTTTAATAGCAGATATTGGCATTAATCCTCTTTTTCAAAATAAAACGTATTTTGCCAAGTTTCTTGGTGTTATTCATTCAAGAGTTTTTGGCGTTCTTCTGTCGTCAGATCCGTTTCAGGTTCCATTGTGAGCTTTTCAATGTTCTTTATTTCTCAGATGTGATTTTTGTTACTCCTTTAGCTGCTTGAGTCTTCTTGATTATACTGTATCTTTTTTAGATAAGATTGAACTGCGGCCTACTGTAGACCTGTTTGAGCCATACTGCCCAGCAACATCAAACATCTTCTGTCACTCTCTACCTTTGCTATTATACTATCACCTTTTGAAAATAAAAATTGATGTGAATCTTAGAGAGTGCCCGCCTGACAGTCTTGTGAATACTATAAAAAATTTCTTTCTGTCAGAAAAATAAAAAGCCGGAATTACAAAGGAGAGTTTGAAAGTTCGGAGGAATACTATTCGATCACTATATATACCAGGTTGAAAGTCAATGTCGACGTCTCCTGTGCTCTGAAAGGTTTTGAATTGTTACTTGAAGACAAGGAAAATCAATCAGTATTCGTCAATTTCTGTCGCTTCTTTTTATGTTTGTTCAGTGAAGTGTTCATTATCCGAACATGTGTTTGTTGTCTGATCATAAAAATCTTTCGCAAAAGTGTTCGTTATCTGATTTGTTTGTTAACCGATCTGTTTGTTAACTGATCACCCACTGTGTATATATTTGTATGTATGCAAGAGTATGCACATAAATTTTAGTAAGAATAAGTGTTTGCATTCATTGTATTTTGTTTTAAGTAAAATATATTTGTATAAAGATACTTTTTTTGAAATACAGTGATCAGATTAGTTTCCTGTAGACAAGTGTTATTAGTTTTAAAAAATGTAATTTTTAATGAATATACATAATGTAATTAAGTCTTCTCACATGTTTTTGTTTTAATTGATTTCTGATATAGTTTCAGTTTTGAATTGATTTGGTTTTTTTTTTCCTTTTTAAATTACATATTTATAATAGTCATTGGTTGAATTCTGTTTTCTTGGAGTTCAGAGTTACTTAGAAGCATTCACTTTAATACTGAATTACTTTTAGACTCTTTACTAGTCTCTTCAAAGGTGATTTTGAAAATTTTACTGATTTTAAATTGTTCAACAACAGCAGTTTTAATTTTGCAAATATTACCTGAAATAATTCTCATTTGATTTTCATTTTTATGTATTTATATTTATTTCACATTAGATATTATATTTAAGCAAGATATTAATTTAAATTTAAAATTTGAAATAAAAAAAAAATAATGAATAAATTATTTGATGTGTAACTTTAGCTTATCTTCAGAGTTAGTCATCAAATGTAGAATTATATAAATCAAAATATTCGTTTTAATTTTGCTATTATTTTTAATATCAGAGGATACTACATAAAATTTCTTGAAAAATTAAATGTTTATTATTTATATTGGAATTGATTATTGTATTATAATGTCTACTGTTTTGAAAATGTCATACATTTTCCTTCTTGATAAAAGTGTTTTTATAACTAAAATCTATAATTTATATAAATGAATGTTATTGTGATCTCTTTTAAAAAATACTGATATTGCATTTAGCTATCAATGAAAAACTAAAGTTTTTATCATTTCCATTGAAAAGTTTATTATATAATTTCTTCTTGAATATGAGAGGAACTATTGAATGTATTAAATTTTTTTAAAAATTAGAAAATATAAATTGTATGTTTAATTTCTTTGTAAGTAATTAAATGATCAGATAATAATTTTTATTCATTATGTTAATATATGAATATATAGTTTAATAGTTGTTATGATAAATAAAATTTCATTTTTTTTATCATTAAAATGATTTAAAAATTGATAAGATTACTTGATATCAATAGTTAACAGTGATTTGCTTTCATTAATTAATATTTTAATTATTAATGTTTTTTATTTAGTATTTTGAAAACATTATTAGCTGAATTAATTGAAAAATGTATTGAAGGTAAAAGCCATCCAAAACTTTTACTAAGAAGGCAAGTAATTTTTAATAATTATATTTGTAATTGTATTTCTGAAGATCAAGAAATAAAAATATTTGAATAATTTTACAGGACAGAATCAGTAGCAGAANTATCTTTTGCCTCTGTTCCTTCATGCACTTTTGATTTTCTTCTTTCTGATATATTTTCAGATTTTATATTTGATAGTGAGCTATCATTGTTTTCATGTGAGCATTTATGATTTGTGACTTTACCTAAATGGTTTTTAGCTTTTTTCAGAAGATTTTTTGCTGCATTTTCACTAGAATGTCTATGCTGATTATGTTGAAAAGAATTTAATGAATCTGTTTTGTTATTTGATTTTATAGTATTCTGAATTTTATCACATGAAACATCTGTTTTCACTATTTGTTTTGACTCACTAAATATTAAATTACTCCTTGATATGTTTTCTCGTTTCCAGAGTCCACTCAAACCATCTTTAATCATTTTATTATATGATTTCCATTGTAATGTTCTCATTCCAAATCTGGTTCTTCGTATTTCTGATTCTGTTGATAGAGAATCGTATTTTTTTGTGAAATCCCTGCGGGTTTTATTTTCTAGTTTATATTTAGAGTAAATTTTTCTAGAACTTGAAAATCCTTCAAATTCTTCCTCCTAAAAAAATATGAATTTTGAATATTACATTCTTTACTTTCAAATCTATAAATCCAGTAACAAAAAATAATTTAATAACTGAACTAACGTTTCGATCTTCTAGATCATCATTGTAAAAATATTGTAATTAATAGTAGAGACAAAGTGCTATCATTGCATGCATGGAGGGCATTGTTTGAAGTTGTCTAGTTTAATTTATTCTCTTTTTTGTTATTATTACATCTATACTAATTTTAACCTTCTTCTGTTATATGTTTATTCATTTATGTAACATACTTTTTATTTAAATTCATTTTGTATAGTATTATTTATTTTAGTTTATTTTAGGTTATCTTCTTTAGATATTTTAACTATTTTTATGTATTTATTTTTAATTTTATGTTACATATTAAGCAATCTATATATTCAATCCTTGTGCATGTAATATGTAATATGATTCAAATTGTTTGATTGTTTGTATTTTTAAAGATATTTTCTGTTCACACATAGACCAGAGTATAGTGCTTATGTCAGACCAAAGTCAAGGCATGACTACAGAAAATAAATGTTTTGTTTGTATATTTATCCATGTTTATAACTCAGTTGCCCACATTGAGTCAGATTCTGTTTATGGATCACTCTGCTTTATTTCTCTGAATAGACCTTACTGGCATCCTACTGGAAGCATATGCTCCCGTTGGCATCATTCTATTGTTCATTGGAAATACTGAGCTTTCCTGATAGTCTGGAGATTTGGAAGAAAATTATTATTGTTATTATACTAACACTTTAAACATGATTATTTTGTAAAGAATACAGAACGAATAAGGTTTAAAACTCATTTTATACAAAAACAAAATAAATAATAATGTTATAAACAAGTAAAAAATAATAATAAATAGAGAATGAAGCATTTTTATTAAAAGTTATGTTATATTGAATTCTTACACTATTTATTATTTATTGTAACAATAAACAAACAATTCTACATGTTTCTTGTTTTTTAAGATGAACAACTTTGATAAATGGTGAATCTACATCAAAACAATTTTCTTAAAAATTAATAAATTTATTGGATAATGCAAAATAATTAGTAATAGACTTTTTTAATACACTAATGAAGTTCTGTTAAATATAATCAAATGTTAATGGTCATAAATTAATATGACTTGAATATTTGATTTTGGACAGCTTGATGGTACAATTGATTTGAACATGTTTTTGAATAATTAATACATTTTTCAACATTGGAATATTGTTTATTTTTTACGAAGTTTACTTTTTTCATGCAAAATAAATGTAAAGTTTGAAATTATAATAAGAATAGATTACTTTATTAGATTTTTATAAAAGTAATAGTCAATTTAGAAATAATGTTTTATAAATACACTCTATTAATTTATTTGTTTTAGGAGTGTGCAGGAGAACCACTTTTCATGTTATATAGAGCTATTAAACAGCAAGTTGACAAAGGCCCAGTAGATGCAGTTACTAGTGAAGCTCGCTATTCTTTATCAGAAGAAAAATTAATTAGGCAATCTATTGAATATAGAGGAATGGTAAGTAATAAATTTATTTTACATTTTTTGTCACTTATATTTTTTAATCTTTGAAATGTACAAGCTATTGTTATAAATATTTTCTGTTAGAAGTTTATTATTTGGATAATAAATTACAAACTTTATATTTGAAAATGAACCAAAGTACTTAATAACCTGGAAATTTATTTAAAGAATATTTTATCAAGTTATATCTGAAATATTAGATATTAAATATTAGATAAACAATTATCTTTATTTTGAAAGAAATATAACTTTAGATAATTAAAAAGATATTACTATTTAATTTGTGTGATAAACAAAAATTTTTAGAAAGATTTCCTCTATTTACAATTTTCATAATTTTTTTTCCAGACAGTTTATGTTTCCATGTCTCCCCAGACAGCTTATGTTTCAGGCTTAGAACCACCAGGTGAAAATATCGAAACACCAGTTAAAGTTTTGGACTGTGATACTATTTCTCAAGTGAAAGAAAAAGCACTTGATGCAATTTATAAAAATACTCCTTTTTCACAACGTCCTAGCAAAGATGATTTAGATTTAGGTAAATTATAATTTATAAAATGGTTTAAAATATTTTCAGATATTTTATTAATGTGAATTTAAACTAAAATTTAGTAATACATTAAAATTTATAGTTATGTACAGGGTGGTTCATTTTAGTCAATCTACTGAAATTTCTTGAAAAATATGCATCTTACAGGAAAAAAATCATTAAAAATGTTAGAGGCTTCAAAGGGACCACAAAGTGAAGCCATTAGATGGTGTTAAATCAGTGAAAACAGGGCCAATTTCATTTTCTTAAATGGAACCNATTTATCATCTTTTAACATAAAAATTAGTCTAAAATAAATATTTTTATTTTGAACTATACAATTTAATAATGGAATTTTATTACAACTTAGTGAATAATTGAATAAATGTTATTATTTTTAAGTTCTTATATATTATAGATTTATAGTGAAATCATATAATTTTATGATAGACAATTTGTTTGGCTGGAAAATAGCCAAGTGCTTCAATTTGGCAATATGTGAAATTAATATAAAACATTACATCAAGCTATAACTACAGTGAAATTCTAATTAATTAAGTAATAATACTCTAAAAATTATGAAATGATTAAAACTTAAATACTACATATTTTATTCAATCATATTCAAATAATCTTTATAAATTTATATAAGAGTACAAAAATTTTTTAATTGATAAAATCTAATGTTAAATTTAAGATAAAAATTTAACATTTATTAATTTATTAACAGATATGTTTTTAAAGAACTTTAATTTTCTTTGTTATTTAGAATTTCTTCAAATTTTTTGAATTTTATTCATTTGACATGTATACATTCACATATATACATGTAGTAACTAAGTATAACTTAACAAATACTGTATATCAATTAGCCAAACAGTTAGAAATCATTGACTTTTGTTACAACTAGTATTGTTGTATTGTAATTCAAAATTACATTCATATCTGGAGATGATTTGAAATGAAGTGGTATGCTACCTGACTTGCAAAGATCAAAGGTTTAAATCCCAAGCCAGATCAATCTTTTTCTTCTGGAAGTTTCTAAATTATTTATTAATTAATATATTTTAATTGAATTATAATTTAAAACTAGTCAATGGTTTTCATCTATTTGGTTGATTGATAAATATTATGTTCATTTAATACTTAATTTATTAAATTTCAAAGTTTGTTTAATCAATTTAAAGTAGAACAAAGAAACTCATATGAAATTTAAAATAATTAAGAAAAAATCAACATATCTTTAATGATTTATACATCATAATATGCATGAAAAATGTAATGGTGTTCAGATACACTGAATATTTAAATAAAGAACTTTATTTTTCCTCAATTTAAATGGATTTTGGATGATGACTATTGAATTGCAGATACAAAGAAATATAGGAATATGTTAATTCAGAAATAAAACAAAGTTTTCTGTTTTGTCAATTATTTTATACATATCAGATTGTAGAATTATACCAAAATTTATGAATTTACAAAATAGGTATGACTTGTTTTGATTACAAGATTTATGATTATACAGATATTATTATTAAATTTTACCATAAAACAATAAACTTATTGAGAAAAACATTGTTTTGAAAATATTAAAGTTAATGCTATAATAATTTTTAAGAATAAAGTCTTTTTATTTTTTATTTTTATTTTTTAGTTTTTCATATAAAAACTTAAATAAAATTTTTGCCTTTATACCGTATTGCCTCAAATTTAAAATGCATTATTTTGTATTTCCAAACAAATTTTCAGTACATCCTTAATTCAAGATGTTTCTTAAATTGTGAGTATTCTTTGTCACTCTTCAAAAATTCAAAAAATAATGTAAATTTTATATTTTATTTTAAATATATTATTAATGTTTTCACTCTGTAATAAATTCTTTTAAACTATATTTATTTTTAATTATCATTCAATTTCTTTCCTCAAAAATGCTTTTTTAAAGATGGAGTGTATGTAAAATTTGAAGCAATATGGTAAATGTCTATGTAAAATTTAAGAAATTATATTTTATTTATAAATAATTTAATTTTAATTTGATAAAATTGAGAGATTTTCAGCAATTTCTACATTTACTTCATATTATTTAAATTTTATTTTTATTATTATTAATTTTTTTTATAAAAGTAAAGTATATTTAATATTAAAATAAGATGTAGGACTATATAGCAATAATTAAATTTTCAAAATTACAGTACAGTCTTGTTTTAAATTGGGATATCAGCAGGTATTGTGTAAAACAAATTTTTTAAATTTGTACTCTGTTCCAAGAGTACTAGCTGATTACTTAGATGCTTATGTAATTATTTCTAATAAACGAAAAAACATTGAAATATGTTTGATGCCATCTTGCTGTTGTGGTTTCAGTTCAGTCAGTGTCAGAAGTGTTAGATTAATTTTACACAAAGTGCATAAAGTATACAGGGCATTAAGAGTGGGGGGAGTTGGGGATTTTTTCCTGAGCCTGGAGAAAACTTAGTGACTTATAGTGGTTTCAAACCCTATAAATTAATGTTATTTTATTTTTACAAACAAAACGTGAAATATTTAAGACTGCCTTTAGTTAATAAAGAAACATTCTACATATTTTGTTAAAAAAAAACGGGCAAAAGAGTCCCACTAAGGCAAAAAGAGGACCTTTTCTACCCCAGTCCTCATACAAGTTCTCTGCAGCCCTGAAAATTATACATAAAAATTTTTCTACTTTCTTCAAGGTCTGTTAAAACTTTCAATTTTCATTTCATCTTTATAATTATTTTCCAAAGACAGGTTGTAAAAAATTGCTTCTAATTTTTGTACCATTATTTTTGCTCCACTGAATTTGTGTCTATCACTGGCAGAGTGGATAAAACCACTGAATACTATAAATTGGTCATGGGTTCATACCTCACCAATGTGCTGGCCACATGACATTTTCTGGGTTTTATTCACATTAGTAACACCTAAATAGAGACATTCCCATAAAAGACTTCCTGGAAGGCATTCTCCCTCAACAGATTGTCCATGTGTTACATTGTTATAAGCAAATAAATCATCCTACACAGAATTTCATAATAAAAGTAGTTAGCATGTATATTATTAGTCAGAATTATTCATGTACATTTAAAGGTTAATTTAACCATTTTCCATTGTGAAAACATAAATTTACATGTTATAGTTACATCTAAACAATCCAATGTAAAACAAGACTATTGTAACTTTTTTAAAATAAGATCAAACTTAATTTAATGTTTTAAAAATGTTATTTTATACCTTAAATAAAACTTTGAAAATATTAAATTAAAATAAAATTATAAGAATCTAATTTAGAAATTTTAAAGTTACTAAAGTTTAATAACTTATTTGTATTTTTATTCATAAAGCTTTTAGTCCTTTTTCCATTTTAGAATTTTATTTTTTTATAGCTATGTATTTTTCAGCTATTAATCTGGACTTATCATACCATGATTTCTGAGGAAACTTAATTTGTTTTTCCCACCCTTTTTATTTCTTAGTAAAATCTAAACTCCCAAGATGTACATTTTGGGGTTTCTTTACCCTTCTTCAGTTGAACCATTACATTTGGATCTAAAAAAATATACATAATTAAGAATTTTTTCATATAATGTTACTTAAATATGTGTATTATTGTAGCTCTTATAATATCCAGGAATATTAATGTGATTAGTGGATTATGCATTATCTTATTAGTGATCTGATTTCTTGATACATTTATATTAAAACTTTGCCATATTTTCCTTTGCATTATTGTAAATTTTTAAAAATACATAAGTTGAAAAAATTGTGTAGAATCTACTAAAAAAATATAGTGATGAAAGTTTAGTATAGAAAGTATGGTGATGATATAGTGATGAAACTTTTTCAAGAATCTCATTAAAGAATTTTTATTCAGTCAACAAAACCTCTTTAGCTTCTTTTTACTTAAATAGCATATTCTGCTCTATTGTAGTACTGTACATACAATGCTTAAATATTAATAACAGATTTTTAATAATACTTATATTTGATATGACTTTCAAATAAAATCTGTTAATGTTTAATTTGGATAGATATTTAAAAAGTTAAAATAAATTTTAAAACATATATACATAATATTTTGAAAATATTTTTTCTAACTTTAAAAAATCTGATGACTACATTTTTATAACAATAAGTTTCTATTTATAATGTGTTTAAATTAAAAAGTTAGTTTTAAAAAATATTCAAAAGTAACTGTTTGTATTGATTTGATGATCCTTTTTCTTCAAATTCTCCATTATTATATTGCCATTAAATTAAGCTATCAAAAAGGAAAGTGATTAAGGTCACTCAATGCACTCATGTAATATATAACTCAGCTTTTAAATTTTTTTGTATTAAGTTGTTTCATTGTCTTTTTCTTGATTTAAAACTTAAAAAGTAAGTTATATAGTGCACATTAGATTGATTTTGCATTGAATATTTTTATGTAAATGTAATCACAATACAATAGTTTCACACAAAAAAATGTATAAAATCAAAATAGGTAAAATATTTAAAAATGACTATCATTTTAATTAAATAGATGACAGAGAACGATTTTTCTAATTTAAAATTTACAAAAATTAGAAGAAAACACTAAAATAAATCAAAGGTGTCTTTACATTTTATCCTTTTTTTATACCTTAAGAATGTAAGTCTTAACTTTACATTAACTGGATTGATAACTATAACTAAGTAACCAATCAAAATCTTGATAATTCCAGTAAATAGTTTAATGTAAATTTAGCAAACATTTTCAATCTTACATAAGATCTGTTTCAGGTCAACAACATTCTAAATTGGAATGCACAGAACTAATTTCAAAATTTTTTATGTATAACAGTATTATAATCAATTTCTTATTGGAAAAAATAGAAGTTGACCAACTAAATTAAAAATTAGAAAAAGCACATCATTAATAATTTAATTTGCCTTTTTAAAATTTTTATCGAAATTTTATTGAAAATTATAATCTTCGTCACATTTATGTGTAATGTTAAGTTATATAGGACCTGCTCATTTGCCAAATCGATTAAGTTTACAAAATGAAAAGTAGAGAAATTAATAAAATAATATGAATTGTTTTTTTACATTTAAATTTAAATAAACATTGTACAATGTATTATTTTAGGCATAGCTTTTATCTAACAACATATAAAATAACAATTATTTCAAGGATATACTATTTTTACATTTTTTGCATAACTAAAAGAATTAATTGATTTGATCTATGAATGGCTCATATATAGAGCATATACTAATAATTAGTGATATTAAATTAATATTCATTATGTAATTTTGTAACAAATTTACTATTTTTATTATTTAAATATAATTTTTTTTTTAATTATCCATATAATTTTTGAACTATTTGATAAAATTTTTCAGTTTTGCTTTTCACAGAGTGGAGAACAGGAACATCAGGCAGAATCACACTTTCTGATGAAGATGCTACAAGTAAAATGGAAAATGATTGGAAAAGAGTGAATTCTTTAGCTCATTATAAAGTATGATATTCATTAATTCATAACAAATAAAAATATATTATATTTGTGAAAGTCACATCTTATGTTAGTGTTTCTCAACCTAATAATATCAAATATTGAATCAGACCTATTTAGAGATTGTTTCCTTTTAACAGAAAAATCATGGCATTATTCAGATTTGTACTCTTCTAGAATTGTAAAGATGGATAATATTCAGAACATTCTTTAAGAAGCTTAAAAATTGCTTACGTTAAATTGTTTACATGATATGCTATTTTATCGTTAAGAAATTAAATTATGATATAATTAAAAAATTTGAGATTAAGTTTTAAATTACTGACGATGAGATGATGTATCATGAAAAAATTTTGGCATAAATAATTTTTAGGTTCTCAAAGCTTTATTGTTTTTCATAAATTCAATATATAGTTATTATTTACTATTGCTGAGGATTATGTCATGTTTTTTGATATATTAAAAAAAAAACACCATTTAAGAAAGGTTGATAAACACTGCACTAAATTATGACAATTATTTAACAAAATAAAAATATACAGATATTTACTTTGTATCAAAATGAATTCATAATCTAACTTAGATATTGTTTTCAGTTTATTCAGAGTTAAAAATTTATAAACACATCCTAACAATTTTGAATTTGGAAAAGTAGTCTTTATATATTTAAAATAATTGTCAAAAATTGATATAAAATTCTAAGTTTTAATTATTTTTTAAGCATCTGAAGAGAAGATTTCAAAATTCAAATTATTAAGAATGTGTTTTTAAATATTTTTACTCCAATAAAAGTATTTTTAATAAGTAAAGATAAGCAAAGATGGAATTTAATTCAATTTCATAACTTAAAAATCTGATTCAAGAAAGTTAGCATATAATATTTGAAATATTTTCAGAGATATTTTATTTCCATCTTTTTCTATGATAAAATTTGGAATTATCTATGGAACATTATGAAAATGGTGGTAAATGAACTACAAATTTTANATGATAAAGAATTTTAATCAAAAATAAATGTTCTGTAAAATTGGTGTTCTTTTATAAAATTTAAACAAACAATCCAATGTTAGATTCTACTCTTTTTGACAAATTCAATAATAAAAATATTTTATTTTGAGAAAACTTTCACTTTATACTGGTAAACTGAAGTTGGTCAAAATGGTCTGAAAATACTTGTAAGTATATAACAGAATTTCTTCAAAGTAAATAATTTTTTCATTACTGAATTTAAAGAAATTATACTGTATTTCAATTTTAATAATGTTTTACAATATTTTAGTCTGTTGAATATGATTTTGTATGTGGAGTATGTTCATATAATTTTCTTCCTAAAAGTAAACAGTTTATTCATTTATTTATGAAGAAACAATAAGTTTTTTAAGAAACTTTTTATTTATACTGTATAAACTCAAGGCATTTGAGAACATTCAAGATAAATAAAAGATTTTTGAGAATAATTAATTGTTTATACAGAAGAAAGCATTTCTTATTCAAATTTCTTTGTTTCATTTATATTATAATGATATTTCATTCCAGTTTTAGATAAAGTAGATATTGATATTTTAAAATAATGATTTGTTTTCACTTTTTATTATTTTTTTTTAAGTTAGTCATTTATTGGAAATATTTTATTTCTAACATTGAATCAATTGAAATTGCCATAGAAGTTTAAATTAAAAATTGATAAATATAGATATTTTAATGAAATCTAATTGAATATAAACCCCAATAGTCAAAATATAAACTCTGGTGTACGTATTGTTATAATTGTGTGTGCATCTGATGATAAAAAAAAGATCCAAATAGGAATATGGTATATATTTTAAGATTTGGAACTTTCTATTAGACCACTGGCTTATTTACAAGTAATAAGGATTTGAATCTCATCCAGAGTCAGCATCAGTGGCACACCCAAGGGGCCAAGGGGCCCTGGACTCTCCAAAGAAAAAGGAAAAAAAAATTTTCCAAAATTCTTTTTTAATTAAAATTCACTTTTTTTTTATTTGTATTCTGTAGTCTTTTTTTTTTATTTCTATTCTGCTTATGAATTAGTGGTCATATAAGGTGGGAATTTTGTTGAATTTGCATTTTAAAAATTTTTATCCGTTCAACTCGCCTTCCCAAGAGTAAATCCTGAATGCACCACTGGTCAGCATACAGTTTTTTTATCTAGATTTTTTGTTCTTTTTTGTATTTATACAGTTCATATACTAAATGTATACTTTGATTTATTAAAAATATCAGCTACTTAAATTAATACATGAAAAAAATCAAATAAAAAAAAATCTTTATATTAGAAACAAAATTCAGTATGAGAATAACAAAATACTCAATCAAAACATTTTCAGAATCTAATATTTTATCTATAGAAGACTGCTATATTATCAGTTTAGTCACATGCAAAACTTAGTGATCCTGTGAACAATAGTTTTTCAACTTTTGCTGTATGTGACTTCTCTCAATTTTTTTAGCTGCATTTCAATGCTGATTGTGATGATATCCAACTTTTTCTTTTTTGTCTCTTCTTCTAATACCTCTCCTAATACCTTCTTCTAATACCTTCTTCTAATACCTCCAAGCATCATAGTCTTCTCAAGGAAATCATTTTTTCTTATAATGTTCTTATAGTTCTTTAGATTCTGCTATAGTTGATTTCCATAAACAATGAGGCTTTACTTATCTAAAACCAATTCTTTAGATTAACAATAAATACAAAAAAATGAATGTTCTAAAGTTTTAAATCTAAACTTTCAATCCTTCTGAATTCCTCAATTTATTAAAATTCTTATTATTTTTCTATTTTGTTACATTATGTAATGAAAAAGAATTTATGATATAATAATAAATTGAAGATGGATTAAAATTCTCTTTAATTAAATATATAGAGTTGGATATTATTTTACCTTTAATAAAATAATTTTAATACTTGTCTTTATCTAAGAGTGTATTAAGCATTCAAAAGTTGAGATTTTGACTAAACAAAATATAATTGAAAGATAATTAATTTTTATTTGTAACTAATATTAGCTTTGATATCTAATTATTCTTTAATACTCAAAAGATTGAGGCAATGTTTTTAATGTCAATAAAGAACTAAAGGTAGTAATTGATTTTTTTAATATTCTGAGTGTAATTATATTTTATAAATTACTCCAAAAAAACAGTTTCAGGTATAGCTGATATAAAAAATGAACCTGTAGGGTCATATGTAGTAATCTGCAATTGACCAATGTCTACATTAATAATGCCTGTAGATCTAATGGAAAATTTGTCATTTGTTTGTTGATTTATTGGTGATTGTTTCTCTCATGTGAGGCTGTTTTTCTTGCTTGATGATAAAGAATTTTAATCAAAAATAAATGTTCTGTAAAATTGGTGTTCTTTTATAAAATTTAAACAAACAATCCAATGTTAGATTCTACTCTTTTTGACAAATTCAATAATAAAAATATTTTATTTTGAGAAAACTTTCACTTTATACTGGTAAACTGAAGTTGGTCAAAATGGTCTGAAAATACTTGTAAGTATATAACAGAATTTCTTCAAAGTAAATAATTTTTTCATTACTGAATTTAAAGAAATTATACTGTATTTCAATTTTAATAATGTTTTACAATATTTTAGTCTGTTGAATATGATTTTGTATGTGGAGTATGTTCATATAATTTTCTTCCTAAAAGTAAACAGTTTATTCATTTATTTATGAAGAAACAATAAGTTTTTTAAGAAACTTTTTATTTATACTGTATAAACTCAAGGCATTTGAGAATATTCAAGATAAATAAAAGATTTTTGAGAATAATTAATTGTTTATACAGAAGAAAGCATTTCTTATTCAAATTTCTTTGTTTCATTTATATTATAATGATATTTCATTCCAGTTTTAGATAAAGTAGATATTGATATTTTAAAATAATGATTTGTTTTAAAGTTAAAATTCTAAAGACTTAATCTGAAATAAAAATATAATTGAATCATTATTTTATTTTAAACTTTAAATACTGTAGATATAAGTATATAATTATGCAGAATTGTTATCTCAATAAGAAATAAAATAAAAATTTAAAAATAAGCAAATAATCTTTACTTTAATGGATAAATATTTTTAGCACTTATTTATTTTTCTTGAAGGCAAGAAGATTAATGAAGAATATATACAATGTTAAAAAAGGAAATAAGTTATTCTAACAACAAAAAATAATTTATTATATGAATAATAAAATAATATATTTAATAATTATTTATTTTATCAGGAGCAAAATCTATTTATAATATGCATAATACAGATTTATATTATTGTAATGACATAAATTGCTTACTAAACAAATAATGATAATTGATTTTGTTTGTATTATATTTACAAAAATAAAATAAATTACTTATATTATGTGGTAATAGAAAATAGTAAGTCATTAGTGTTTAAATGTTATGCTTAAAATAACTTTCAAAAAATATATTTTTAATTTTATTTTTAAAATAATTACATTACTCTATTAATTTATAGATTTATTTTTCCTTTTTTATTTTATTTTATTTTTTCATATTTGTGAATGTCAAATAATTATAAAATAATAAGCCAAATGATCACTATAATGAATCAGGCTACTTTACCACTACTATTTCGTAGCAGTAACATAGCCTGATTCATTGCTGTGATTGTTTGGTTTATTATTAAAACTATTTAGCTTTGAGAAGTTTATAGATGTAATCATAAAAGTAATCTCAAAGCAAATATTTAATTATTTGCATTTGGAAGACCACAGACTAGGAGCTTTCTTAATGAATGAGCTCCTTTAGCCATAGATTTATATATAAACAGATTTTTCATAGTCTTTTTTTATCCAGGCTATTTCACATCATTAGGTTTCATAAGATTAACTTTTGATTGCAGTTTCAAAATATGTCTCTAGTCTGTTCATGGCTGAGGTGTTCTACTATGCTCTATATCAAACTCATTCTTCTTATCCTTTTTGAGTTTAAAGACTAGATGAGACCCATTAAGGAAACTTATCATCTACTCTCTTAATTTGATTTTGTCGTATATATATGTTTATATAAACAAACCAATAATCTGTGAGTTTGTTTATCTCTAACTTTTTATAGCACCTGATAGATGGCTATTCACATTTAGTAGACCTTGACAAATTACCATAGCATTTCATATATTTTCATGATTGTTGACTGTCACTTCAAATCTCATTGTTTTGGCTTTGAAAATTTAAATAATAGCAAAATTATTACTTTAAATTGAAATTTTTTCTGTTTAATCTGTTATGTAATGAATAATATTTAAAGTTTATTTAAAATTATAATTACAAATATATTTAAAAGCCATTTTTAATTTTAAATTGTTTAGAAAAATATTTGTTTGTTGATTTTAAAATTTGTTCCAGCATTTAAATTCCAATTTGTTTTTAAATGAAATTTTAGGTATCGGATAGTGCTCTGCTAACTTTAGTGCCGAGGCAGTCATCAATGTATAACTTATCCATAATGACAGAAAAGCCTGAAAAGCAACAAAAATATGGTTGGTTCATAGTTAAAGAAATTATTTTTACAAATTATTTATTAATATTTAATTTATTTTTGTTATTATTAGTATATTTATTTAAATAAAATAAAGACCCACTTAAACTGATAACAATAAACTATTCTGTAACATTAAGCAGAGTAAATAAATAAGATTACAATTAGTAGGAAATCTGGTTTTATTAATTAAGACATTAAAAGGATCCATTGAAACAGTTAAAAAATATATACAATAATACCCTCGACTTACGTGAACCCAGAGTTACGCGATTTTCAAATCTCGTCGATTTGTCTTTTGTTTGAGCACCATGCAACTCTTGATTACTCATGCCCCCACACTATTGTTCAGCTTACATGTTCGGACGTGTTGCACGGAATCGACACATAGCTACAATTTATTTTGTATTATTTATTTCTGTGTTTGTTATATCTATGGAGACTTGAGAGACTCTATGTGGTGATTTCTTGCAATCATGAACGAATCAAAAGATGAGATAAGATTAACGATAACATTTATTAGCTTACATACATCCGACTTGGATTTTACACAAATTGTGAAATTATACCCCAACTTATTGCTCGGTCCCACCTATCGTGTAAGTTTGGGGTATTACTATAATTTGAAGATTTATTCATTATAGTTATTATAATTATTATTAATTAATAATAATTTATCCAGCAGATAATTGAAGTAACAAATGCCAGCAATTTTAACTATTACTCTGCAAATAATTAAAATGATAAACATTTAAAGCATTGGTTAAGTCTGATAATGATTGCATGTTGTCAGCCAAATTTTAATGTTGATAGAGCCTCTTCATTTGACTCAACAGGAAAATCTACATACAATGCAAATTAAACTATGTAGACATAGACAGACATTAGTTTATGCATACAGCTTTTTTTTATACTGTTGGAGTATCTCTAACAAATGTTTATACTTAATTAATATGATACTGGTGTGGAGAGAGGAAGATCTGATTTCTGCTTTATCTTACCATGCTATTGTCTGTTGGGATAGTGTTGAATGTAGTACTATATGTTCATCTTTTATAACTTAACAAAAGATCTTTAAGTGTACCTGAATTATGTATTTCCTTGCTGCAGAATCTAACAAAATCTATAACTGATAAGGAATAATGATGATGAGGGAAAAGTTGAATATTTATATAAATAAATGCCTGCTTTTATGACTTAATTTTTTTCCCAAAAAATGATTGTTAAGTCAGAGTTTGATTTAAAATGACTTAACATACTTCAGTATCATAAATTGAGTTTTCCTTCCCAGAAATATGATCTGAGCTATACAAGATCATACTGAGGTGGCTAATGAAAAATAATTCACTTATAAAGAAAGTACTTATTAATCAAATATAAACTTTATATCAGTCATAAGAATCAAATGTTGTGAAGTGATCAATTGTAGAGAACAATTGCATTTTGTATTAATATTAAACTGAATAACAACTTTTCAATTATTATGACATTATTTTTAATATTACCGTTATTAAAAAAATATTAGTTTATATTATGATATAAACTAATATTAGAATACTAATATAATGATATTAGTACTCTTATTAACTCTCCCAAACATTTTATTAATTACATTATAAGTATAAATTCTTAATTACAAAACAAAAAATAGGAAATTACCATACAATTTAATTAATTAGAATTGCACATTCTTTTGCCCTAGATTTTCATTTACAACTTTGAATTTTAATTATAAGTATTTAATTTCTATACTAGAAGTTCTTATATTTCATACAATGTAATTGTACTAGAGATTATAAAATTAAGGAAATGTATACCATACTATTAAATATTTTTTAAACAATATAATTTAATTTAATAAAAAGTAAAATACATCTGGATACGAGTCCAATTTTGCTTGCCATGTCCATGCATATAATTTAATTCAAAAATTACTTTTTTTCATTTTTATATTGAATATTTTAAAACCAAAACCATAAAATTTTAATGGAATTTTTTATATTAATTACTTATTATATATAATGAAAATCTTTACACACTTTTTAAATTATTATTATTATTATTATTTTATTCCAGAAACATTAAATTTTACACTTAAGACGAGTCCTCCCCTTAGTAGAGCAACATCTCCACTTAATCATGATACTGAAACAGGGTACAAATATTGGCATCTGGTGAGTATTTTTCTGAACAGTTGAAGATTGAAATTTATTATTATTGATCTAATATATTATTTAGATCCAAACTTGAATATAAATATATTTATTTTTTATATTAAGGAATAATAATAATTATAATTTCACTAGGTTAAACACCATGATACAGAAACAAATAAAGAAGGTGAGCGAGGGAACAAAATGGTCTCAGAAATCTACCTCACACGATTATTAGCAACCAAGGTACAGTTTTAACTTATATTAATGATAAATTAAATTGCATAAGTCTTGTTCAATATTTATACTTCTCATTTCTGTATTGATAACACACACATATAATTCATCTCTCTTGTGCAGCCTTTGTTTAAATGGCAATCATTTATCAATCTGCACATTATGTATTCTGACACTTTCTAACTTGTGTGAAAATACATTCCTATAATATATATGACAAGTATTAGAGATATAATATGTGCTGCTCACTTGCCAAATTGATTAACTCCATAAAACAAAAAGTGGAGAAAAGTGACAAAATAATATACATTCTTTTTTAACATTCCTTTTAAAATATAAATTCAAATAAACATTGTTGAATGTATTAGTGTAAATGTAGCTTTTATTTAATGACTTATAAAGTGTGTAAGATAGCATAGATATGCTATAATCATTATTATTATTATTATTATTATTATTATTATTATTATTATTTTGGTGTGATTGAGGGAGTTAATTGATTTGGCAAGTGAAAAACGTAATAACATCAAATTCAGTTTTCACATAGTTTTTTATTATAGACAAACTTCATTATCGTACACTTTTTATTAAAGATTTTTCGCAAAAATGAATAATAACTAATTCTGTTACTGTTACAATGGTTGTTATTATTATGTTTAAATTGATTATTCAGCAACATAAATGATGTCTTCTTCATCAGCTGTATTTGAAATAATGTCGATTTGTTTGTAAATTTTTATAAGAATCATGTTTAATAGGAGGAATGAAAAAAATTATTTTAAGTTTCATCCATCTTGATATAATGATATAACTTTTCTTTTTTCCTAAAAATAATTGTTCAATAATCCACAAGTATACTTACTTCTGTGGCAGTTGAACTGTAACTAAATAATTTCTTTTACTTACTTTTTGCGATGAGATAACATTAAATAATTTACTGTTATCCACAAGGCACTGGTCAGTGCACACTGTGATTGCAATACTGCAGTGTGTGCTGGTGGATTTACATTACAGTATGGAGTTAATTAGATTGGCTTCTGAAATACAGGATGGAGTATGAGTAATGCCCTTTTGAAATTTAAAAAAATTTTAAATTTTATTGAACAAAAATTACATAAATACAACAACAAAAATACAATGATTTAATTAATATTAATGGACATGCTCAAAACATTCACCTTCATATTCAATACAATGCTGAACTCTACTAGCAACACTTCTACAAATTTTTTGACAAGTTTCCATGGTAATTACATAAAATTTCTCTGCAATTACTTGTTTTAATCCTGATCCTTCAATACACCCCACAAAAAAAGTCCGATGGTGTTAGATCTGGTGATTGTGATGGCCACTCAATAGGTCCTTGTTGTCCTATCCATCTCTCCTCAAAATTTTGATTTAACCATTCCTGAACATTTAAAGAAAAGATACAGTATAAGATATATCTAAAATAATTTCATATAAAATTAAAACATATCAATTTTTGCAGTAGAAACTAATAGAAATTAAAAAGGGCATCACTTATGTCCCACCCTGTATAAAAGTTTTTTCGATGGCCAAGAAAATTTCGATGGTCATTAAGTAGTATTGATTCTTATTATTAGGAAACTTATTATGAATATAAAAAGTGACAAGTATATCAAGTGCTTTGACACTAAAATTTTAAAAAATTTGAAATGTGGAGTTAATCGATTTGNAATCCGAAGCGTGACGGTGTCAATGGCAAACAGTGGATGTGTGACAGAACGATTGGCCAAACTGATGATGATGTCATGCCTTCACTGATTGCCAGGATAATCATCATCTTTAAAACTCGATAGCACTGGAAGAATAGTGAAGAGATGCCTTTATTAATGGCCAACAATTGCTACTATAACACTCCTCGTGCCATTCCTGCGGACGGCAATGTTTGTCGTCTCTATGCAACATCAGTTTATTTCGCATCGTGGATTCGTCAAGGTGCTGTTTTGATCTTGCTTCCAATGTTTGACATCAAACAGGTTCCTAAGCAATAGCCTGCAAGCAAGGTGGAATTATATTTCTTTTTAATTCCAATGATAAAAGCTTCTGATTCATTATTTTAATATTAGTCTAAATCAACATTATCATATTGCCATTTTTATACTTAGCTGAAAGGCTGACATATATATATAGACTTCATACTTTCATAATTATAAAGCTAAAAACAAACTATTATTTATTGTGACATCGTTACAATGCCAGGTTGCAGTTTTTAATCATATTTTTAATTTATTTAATTTAAAATATATGCTCTCCACCTCAAATTAGTGGTAACCTGGCTCTGTACATCATACTTTCCAGCTAGCGAGAGTTGTGATGGTCATCTAACTCCATTAAGGGGAAAATGTTTGAATTAAAATATCATGACTTCTGGTGTAAACTGGAAATTTGTATATAGTTAATCAGGACCTCCTGCCTCTAAACTTTCCATATCTGGTCTTGGCTTTAATCTATTTAACTTTGTTCTTGAGATTAAGAAAGGACAGACAGACAACAGTGGGATTTTATAAGACTGCAATATTTTCAAATTGCTGCAAAAATATTCAACTCATTTTGAGGTTGGATTTGCAGTGAAATATTTAATTAACTCTTACAAATGAGTTGGATATATTTTTTAGCTTCAGTGTTTTTTTACTAAATGAAAATTTTGTTTTTTTCGTTTGTTTTATTAATTAATCTGATTATTAAGAAAAAATATATAAGCTAGCAAGTATGTATAATAATAATATAATTTCATATTAACTTTTTGAGTTTAATCATTTGCTAACAAATTGAATTTCTAATAATTTCATTCACTAGTTACTAAATTGTCTATAAAAAATTTTTACAAATAAATAATTACATTGGTTTAAATTATTTTTTTTGTTTTTGATTAAAAAAATAGAGCCCATCAAAATGTTTACATCAAACTTTTACTTTGCTTAAAATAAAATTTTTATTTGATAAAAATTTGAATTAAAAGAATGAATTGTGGTCAGATATATTAAAAATTATGTAACTTTTATTTTAAAATATTATTTTGTAATATATAAAATTAAAATAAATCCTATTTATCTTACTTAGGGAACATTACAAAAATTTGTGGATGATCTATTTGAGACAATATTTTCCACAGCACATAGAGGCAGTGCCTTGCCTCTTGCTATTAAATATATGTTCGATTTTTTGGATGACCAGGCATTACAGCATGGCATCGGAGATGCAGAAGTTGTTCATACTTGGAAATCTAATAGGTAATTTTTCATTTTCTTATATGGAGGCATATAATTTATCTTTTAAAATTAGTTTTTATATAGACCTAATTTTTAAATCTGTTCTTTTGTAGCTTACCTCTTCGATTTTGGGTGAATTTAATCAAGAATCCTAACTTTGTATTTGATATATATAAGTCCAATATTGTTGATTCCTGCCTCTCAGTAGTAGCCCAGACATTCATGGATGCGTGTTCGACATCTGATCACAGATTAGGCAAAGATTCCCCTAGTAGTAAATTATTATATGCCAAAGATATACCAATTTATAAAGATTGGGTAGAAAGGTTTGTAATATATATTGCTATCAATTAATCATAACATTATTACATTTAACATGAAATTTAATTATTTTATAACAGAACCTTATTAAAATTTAATCATTATTTAATAATTCTAGATATTATCAAGATATTAAATTAATGCCAGCAATTAGTGATCAAGACATGAATTCCATGTTAACAGAGGAATCAAGGGTGTGTAATTGTTTTTATTTAAACATTTATATATTTTGTTTGAATAAAATTATAATGTTTCCTTATTTGCCATTTTATTAGCTTCATGCACATGAATTTAATACGAATGTTGCCCTTTATGACTTGTATAGCTATGCAGTAAAATATAATGACCAGGTAATTTGAAGTTTTATTCTGCAAAATGACATCTGTATAATTATGACTAATGTTTGGATATATAATTATATTGAGTTTTATTTTTTTTAGCTAATGATGACATTAGAAGAAGATGAGTTTTCTAGGAAGAACAAATTAGCATGGAAACTAGAACAAGTTCATGCTACCATGACAGGAGAATCCGAAGCGTGACGGTGTCAATGGCAAACAGTGGATGTGTGACAGAACGATTGGCCAAACTGATGATGATGTCATGCCTTCACTGATTGCCAGGATAATCATCATCTTTAAAACTCGATAGCACTGGAAGAATAGTGAAGAGATGCCTTTATTAATGGCCAACAATTGCTACTATAACACTCCTCGTGCCATTCCTGCGGACGGCAATGTTTGTCGTCTCTATGCAACATCAGTTTATTTCGCATCGTGGATTCGTCAAGGTGCTGTTTTGATCTTGCTTCCAATGTTTGACATCAAACAGGTTCCTAAGCAATAGCCTGCAAGCAAGGTGGAATTATATTTGAGAGCTATTCAAATCCTTAGCGAATGATCTGTGAAATGCTGGTGTCAATCACATTTTTCATTTTTTCAAACTATTATACCAAAGTGCTCTGGGTGCACTGATCGTTCACCGACAATGATTTATCGGAAACTTAGACCCAGAAATAACTAAATGTTCATTGGTGTGATAAACAAATCTCGGTGCAAATAGGAATCAAGAGTTTCCACAGCTAAAACTATTATAACTGAACCGATGGTGCAATGTATAGATGGTGTTGTCAAAATGCGATGTGACGCAACACTTGAAATTTAGATCACGTCCAATACAAATGTTGTCCTGCTTCTCTCTGAAATATATTTCCTGGAAGTTTTAGAGACTTTTTTTTAATTAATATTTTTATTTCTAAAGAAGTACAGTGTGTGAATTTTTAAAAGTTTTCTATGTAATTATAATGATTGTTTTGAAAGATTTTTCTAGAAAATTTTCAAAATCATTTTATGTTAATACTCCCATATGATGGAATTCCTAAAGTGGATGGAGTTAGTATTTGAATAGTGAATTTCTATAAGCAAATGATGGTACTGTATATGTAAATGTCTTGTCTCTAGTTTGTTATTTAAATCAGTGTTTATAAAATGGAATCCTATATTTCGTATGACTCGTTTCGAAATGCCAGTGCAGTACTAATGGGACTTTATATGTGGATGTGCCAATCAAAGGATTCTACCACTATCTGGCTGTCGATGCCCCCATTAACCATATTGAGTGCCTTTGTCATTTGCACTGGATCGCATTTTATCTAGTTTAACGATAAAAGAGATTTTGTTATTATTAATTGTTATATAAACTACTTTTTACCACTGGCAGGAATATATTTCAGATTTGAGAAAGAGTTAGTTCTTTCACTTTATCACAATTTTGTAATTTTTTTTATGACTTTTTGATAATATTTTGCTTTTGTATTCCATTTTGTTATAAAAAAAATAGCAATGGATCTTTATTAATGGTTATATATCATGTGGTGTTTAATAGTGCTGCCGAAAAGAAACGTGAAGACAAAGATTTATCTGCCTACAGCTGATACATATTTTAAAAATTGCTCAGTTAGAATCCCCCTTCTCCATCATATAGAAGACCAACTTGATCTTTATATAAACATTTGTATATAGTTGGTTTACCGGATGGAGTCGACACCATATCAGTCACGTGTCAGGAAATGAGAAGGACTTTATATACCGTGCTACTGTTCCATTATCAATCGATGTCAATGGTGATGTTCCAATGGATAGTTAGTGATGTATTATGTATTGTGAGCACAGGAAGTGTGAGATTACAAAGGTACTCGTATGCACTCTAATGTACTAGCACCTTATCTGGATTAAGACATTACTCCTTTGAAAAAACAACCAAAATGTTTGTAGAAAAATCTGTACTCTTTCTACGATGTTTCACAGGATTATGCACAATATACATAGTTACTTTATTGTTTGGTTTGTTTATTGATGCCCAAATCAGATGCTGTGCATTTAGAAATAGTTGTAAATTTAGTCAAACTGAATGGCTGGCTGTACTTAACATTCTGTCCTTTCCCGTAAATATATAAATATATACATATAATTATATTATATATATGTATATATACATAATATAATTATATTCGGGCTGTGCAGATGTACAACTGCTATTTTACAGAAGTCTTAACCCTCGTCATTTCCAGGGTGCTATAGCCACTTGCCTACATGTACTGGATATAAATTACAGTTGTATGTGATGAATTTACACAGTACTTTATCGATCGGGTGCCGTTACATGCAGGAAGAGAAATGTATCATTCCCGTCACGATTCGACGGGGCATTTCTGCAATGGATGCCCGACTTACTGCTCGGACGAATCAATCCGAGGAACACCCTTCCCTTTTTGTACAATGTCAAAAACTTTGTATAATATTTATAGCATATTTTTATTATGGTATCTGTTTAGAAAGTTTACCTTGCTCAAATGGCTCCTCCATTAAAATGGTGTACATGAGCAGTTGCAGTGAAATTTTGTTTTTCCCCCTTCTGTCGACACTTTCGGGTCTTTTCGTCTTCAGCGATAACAGTCAGATTATCATAAAATTTTGCACGTGTACCTTTTATGGCTAAATCAAAATTTTATCAAATTGCTATTCTGTATGATGATTCATGATCTTGAAATAGTGGTCTGTTCTTTGTGGAAGCAAAGTTATATCGGTGACAAATCTGTAAAATTATTGTGGGGCCCATAGGACGGAAACAATTCAGACAATAGGTAATTGTAACAGATTTTCTGACGTTGAAATGAACAACATAATTGAAACAAAACTTGTGGAAATTTTGTGTAGTAAAAAACTTAACTGTATTGAAAATGGCAAAATTTCAATCTCAAAGAATAAAAGAAAAGAAGTGATCTTATTAATATCAAAATAATTAAATTTTGAATATTCTAGAATAAATTATGTCTTTTAATATACGTATTTTTAACTAACAAAATCTTACAAGTATTGAAACTTTACAAATACAATATTATGAATTTTTAAGTATCAAAGATAAAATTCTTACATGAGAAACAACTAACTTTATGGCCTACCTCAGTTTTGCTTATCGTGGATCAATCTGATCCATAATAGAGTCAACCAAATACAATCCAAGAAAGGAAACAAAATCCAACCGAAACAACCCATGGGTCCAGATCAAATTATGCCAAGATCTCATATAGAAGTTGGAAAATTTCTTAACATGCAGCCCTCCAGCCCAAAATAGCATTGGTTTGATGGTTTATGATATTCTTTATTTAACAGTTTTATTAATTATTGTCTGCTTTGCATTCTATTTAAACACTACATAATACAATAAGTAAAATTTGCATAAAATATTTTTACAGATACAAATGAATGATTTTGGAACAATTTATTAAGGAACGAAACTGATTTAGTTTATCACATTAAAATTTCAAGTTTTCCATAGATATTTGCAAAGGAGCTGAAAATAATAATAATAATAAGTTTTAATAAAAATGATAAAATGTAAATTGAAACATACAAAATTGTTTATTATAATAAAAATTCACTATATAATNATAATATATTAATATATATATATATATATGTAATTTTAAGATTATAAACATATGAAATATCTGAAAATATTGAAAAATCTAAGCCTTATCAAGTAACATTAATCAATCATAAATGATAAATTTTTAAATCTAAATTTAAAATATTAATTTAGTTATATTTTACTAATTGATTTCACAGTTTAAATTCAATAAAGTTACTCACTTGTTCCATTTTTCCTGAACAATGTTTCAAAGTGAGATATGACACACATTTGAATGTATATCTACAAGAAAACATTTAAAATTCTTACCCAAATATAAATTTAGAGTTTCTTTTTTAAGCATATTTAAGATGCTTTACTATAAATTATATTTTTATCTATAAAAATATAATTTGTATTTTCAATAGTAAATCTATAGAAAATATAAAATTATTTACCAAAACTGGTAGAAGAATATAACTGAGACATGCCAAACCAATCAACCAGTTACGATATGCTTCAAACTTTATCTTAAAATAATAGATACATATATTTTAATACATAAAATAAATTTGATTAAGTAACCAAACTTTAAATAAGAACTTACTGCACCAATTGTTAAAACAATTACGGCAACAATGTCTAATAAAATATCGACAAACCCAGTCACTATCCACGGCACCATAAACATTCCATTTTCCTTTACAAATTCAAATTTTAATACAAAGCAACATTTGTAAGTTTAGACAAATATGGACTCACCTGTTGAGCTGCAGTAACTAAAAGATTAGAGGTAACCAGATGCAACAAGCAATATAATGAAGGAAAGATGAACAACAGACTGTTAACTGAAATAATTTAGAAAATATTGATTTAATTTATTTGAAAAGCAACAAAATGTTTTTGTACATATCTATGAAGTATGTTTGTTTATAATTTTAGCATTATATTTAAAAAATTTAAAACCTGTGTTTAAAAAAACATTTTAAAACTCTTCAAACAAATTAGAAACAAAAAAGTTGTTTTTGAATGCTTTTCGAAACATCAATTTTAACAAGTACTGTATTTAAATTGTTACATAACTTTCCTGATCAGTATTAAAAATACNAATAACGTTCCTTGTTTGGTGCTATTATTCTTATTATAAATTTCAGCATGCCCAAAAATTTTGGTCAGGATTTGCCCCTGACATATATAGGCCTATATAGAGTAAACTTTATTATTATACAAAATTCACTAAAGGAGACGTCGTATTATCAGTTGCCTGAAATTCCATAGTGTATCGAAAACAAAGAATCGAAATAGCAAGTATTTGTTTAACGTAATTAACTGACACCTAACAGAGTCAGTAAAAAGCATGAATAAAAAACTAACACATTTAGTAGAACGTTTTTGAATATTAATAGTCTTTGTGACTCACTTTTCCGGCTGTTATGTATATATAGCAAGGGAAAGGACGGTGTGGGAATCGTGTCACATTTGATTCAAAAAGATTTTTGTAAATTTGTACGTTTTGTGACTCCTTGAACCCAAAAAGTCAATAAAAGTTTAATGAATATGTATATATATGTGTGTGTCTGTTGGTTGGCTTCTTTTTCTTTTAATATCTCAGGATAGTAGAAAGGTTAAGAAACGAAATTTGGCACGGTAGTTTACGTATAAAGAGCGTTGATAATATTAAGTTCTGTTAGTAACAGACTACATGTAGCAGAGTGGCGCAGTGGGAGCGTGCTGGGCCCATAACCCAGAGGTCGGTGGATCGAAACCACTCTCTGCTAAAGTTTAATTTTTTTCCTTTCCCAATTAAAATCAATTTTAAAAAGCATAAACAATTTACAGGTCAGAAACAACCATATTACAGCAAGCATTGGACGCTTTCAAGTTAATTAATTAATCGTGTAACTGTTACTTGCTGTAAATAAAATTAATAAAATAGCTTAAATACAATTCGGCAAAAATATTAGCATTGTGTTACAGTAAGCAGAAAAGTCATTACGTGCGTATCGAAAGTGAATTCAATATAATGGCGAAAGAAGAACAAATTCGTACCGTAGTAACGCGATTAAGTGAGAAAGAAGTTGTTCTCTTTGCAGCGTCGTGGAATTAAGCAACCATTGATCGTCGGCCAATAATTTATCTGCGAGAATTTCAAGAAATTTCGAATAACAATCGTTCGAATTTAAAATGAACCGCAATAGTTAAATCTGCAGGGTGGCGATTAACTGTTATCTGATGATAAACGTAAACATACCGGTAAAAGTTAAAGTTGTTGGTATATATATGGTCGATCCATAATACTCGATGTACAACTTCGGTCGTACATATTCTAAAATTGGAACGATACTGGCGCCGGGGTCAGCCGTGGTCACGGTCCAGGTGGTCCAGTCTGGATTAAATGTGTGTATCTGGTTACCACTTATCTGTTGTGGGGACATGTCGGAGCAGACCATTTGATCGGGGTCAGTGGCTAAAGCCTCTAATGGCTTATTTTTGCAGCTGCGGCACCACCCAAGACCCTTGTTCATGAGGTAATCCACCGACGGTGGTACATAGCAGGATCATTGATCTCTCAAACTTTAAAATCACAACGATACAGAGAAGATTAGCATGGCCCCTGCGCAAGGATGACACGCAAAATAGTGAAGCGTTCCGTATTTTTTTTTTCCATCTAACCATTTGAATCGTTTCCACGACGAAACGAACCTCTCTAACCAGGCTAGCGGTATATCTGAAAACACAAGTTCTCCGCTTTCTTATCGAAAAGAGTGTATGGATTTAAAACCAATATTTCTAAAACAAACATTCATAGTAAAATAAATGATTCAGTTAGACAGTGATCAAGAAGCAACTACTGTAGTTATGGTATACGACGTTAATTCATGGAAGTTGAAACATTGAAATTATTAATAGAAACACCGAGTTGTGCTAGTCGAGCTGCTTTTAGTTCCAGTCATTTCATTGTGTAAAATTGCGAAGATATTCACCAGATATTATTTATGTTAGTGACAGAAAATTAATTTCACTGTACTTTAAGTAGAAAGTATGAAAAGCCGACAGCCTCTTTCGTAGAAGCAGAGTGGCGCAGTGGGAGCGTGCTGGGCCCATAACCCAGAGGTCGGTGGATCGAAACCACTCTCTGCTAATCGTTTCGTTTTGCTACTTTCTCCATCAAACATCGATCATCGTTTTGAACATTTCAATTTCATAACGCAGTGGAAACTGGATATTTTTGCTTTTCTTAAGTTCGAAACGAATGGAATCGACGGCGACACGCTAATTGAAGATCTTGTTTCTTTCCTTATTCGTTAGACGACAAACTTTTGCCGCTGCAACGAATACATTATAATTTTAGAAACGATTTCAGTAAATTTGGATAAAGACGTAATCGTTATTATTATTGTGGTAGGTCATGTAAAGTGTAAATGTTGAGTGCTCTTTAAGCTGAAGTATTAGCAACGTCTTGATTTTTATCTTTGGTTGTATTTGCCTAAGAGATCTTAAAAAACTGTTTATGTAATAACTTTTAATTTAATCTATAAAAACAAAACACAGCGACCAGTAGCGTAGCGTGGGTGTCAGCCGCCAGGGGCGGAGGAAAATTTCGCCGCCCCCTTATTTAGGTATCTCAATTTAAAAGACTAAAATTCAGTTTCGTCACAGAATAAGTAATGAAAAATTCCGTGCTAGTGTTGACACCTTTTTAAAATCGCCGATCCTGACGGCAGTTGAGGTTTGTTCGAACAGAAGTTCCTGACGCATGCATATCATTTTGCAATGAAGAATAATTTACAGTGCATGCTGGTTGTAAATCAGTTACAGTTAGCGACTAGGGAGACTTGGGTAGGAGTAACGCAAATAATGTAGATGACTTAGCCCTATTGGATATTGGAGGTGTATATGAGCACGAATTTCGAAAAAAAAGGAAAAAAAAAAAGGTCGACAGGTTGCGCACGATATACCCGGACGGCGAGTCGGATTCCCACTATTACGTGCTCATTTCAATCGTCCGAATCGTAGGTGGACGAAAATATGAAATAAAATGATTTAAATTCTTACAAGATATTATTATTATTTATTGTCAAATTTTGCCGCCCCTAACACGTAATTTTTCCGCCCCCCTACGCTACGCTACTGACAGCGACAGTCCGTAGGGTCCATTTGGAGTACTAACACTACAAACCCTGCACCTGATTTATAGGAAAGCTAGAATAGAAGATAGGATAAGAAAAAAAACCTGTACAATCAGTTCTCATTAAAGAGAGCTGGGCGAAAGATACGAAACAACATTGAAAATGTCAATATTCTAAAACAACACGCATACTTGCTTGAATAAAGAAAATATATATAGAACTAGCTTACCCGTCGCGCATTACTGCGATCTCAAAAGAAACGAAATTCAAGCAAACTCGTTATGATAAAATTCAATTTACATTTTATCATTTTTATTAAAACTTATTATTATTATTATTCACTTTCATCGGGAAAACATTTCAAAGTGTCGTTTCAATTCTATTTATTTATTGGAGTGCTTGTGGATACATGATATTTTTTGTTTTTCCGTCTGGCGCGTACACGAATAAATCAGGTTTTCCCACGCGTGAGCCGGCCACATACAGTTGTACATGCGAAAAGCACGGATTTTCCAAATCTAGCCCACACACTCGCAGCGATTGTCAGAAGTGCTATATTCCCCATTATAATTATATATATTTTTTTTAATCCTTTACAATTTTAATTATTTAATTGCTCCTTCCTCTCTTCCTTGGCGTGTTGAGAAATTTCTGATAGTTGGATAATAAACCGTTTTATTGTAATTTGTCTTTTTAAATTATTTTGAGTCGATATTAAAATTTGGAAAAGGGGGATCCCTAGATCGGTAAAATAGGCGAATTTCCTCCTACAACTTCGGTTGTTGTTTGGGATACAGTTAAGGTTTTAACAAAGTTCGAGCGAATACATAATTAGCAAAAAAAAGTTGAAATAAAGTGATTAAACAAAAATTATTACAAATATCGTATAAATGCATATATAGAGATATTTTTTGGAGTGGGAAATGGTCTTCACAATTTGAAATCGATCGAACACACAGTGCTCGTATACACGCGCGCTATCTATCGTAGGATAAATGTACTATGTCAGAAACCTTCGCGGGAGTATATTAAACAACTTCCCAAAGTTTCACGGCAATCGGATAAACGGTGTGGTAATGCATGAAGGACACACGCACACACACACATTCATTTATATATATATAGATGACAATGTTTGCACTTAAAAACTTGACGTTTTGTATGAGGTTGTCTCCAATTCTCGAACTGTGTTGTAGGAATGTCGTATCGTACGAGGGATACGTGCATTTCATTCTCTGTTTCCAGAGTGAGTTACTACCACAGTTAAGAAAGGAATCGGATAGAAAAGCAAAAATTCTAACGAAAGCGAAGTTGGAAAGATTGAAAATGACCTTTGAAGACAGCGACAAGGTTTCAATTCGATCTGTAGCCTCGAAATTGAAAATTCCCACGAGGCTTTGAAAATAAAAACACAAATATTAAAAGAAGTGGGTAATTCCAAACAGAACGGATATGTAAAGATCATTGGCAAAGACAAAATGCAAAAGTTTATTGAGACAGTTTTTCATTTTAGATGACGAATTTTACTTCACTCTCTCGTACTCGATGATCAATAGCAATGGTGAGTTTTATATCAGTGATAGCTCCTCTACACTTGCCGATGTGCATGTTTCCAAGTAAAAGAAATTTGAGGGCAAATTTTTGGTTTCGATTGCAAAGAGACCGAAAGGATTAATAAGGAATAACACTATCCATTTACTTCAGCGTTTCCGGATTGAAATCCGTGAAACGACAAAGTTGAGGAAAGGAAAAAAAAGATTAAAATCTTAGCAGAGAGTGGTTTCGATCCACCGACCTCTGGGTTATGGGCCCAGCACGCTCCCACTGCGCCACTCTGCTTCTACGAAAGAGGCTGTCGGCTTTTCATACTTTCTACTTAAAGTACAGTGAAATTAATTTTCTGTTACTAACATAAATAATATCTGGTGAATATCTTCGCAATTTTACACAATGAAATGACTGGAACTAAAAGCAGCTCGACTAGCACAACTCGGTGTTTCTATTAATAATTTCAATGTTTCAACTTCCATGAATTAAGGTCGTATACCATAACTACAGTAGTTGCTTCTTGATCACTGTCTAACTGAATCATTTATTTTACTATGAATGTTTGTTTTCATCTAAGAAGGATTTATGAAAAATTCAAGTGTAACTGTAAATAGAAATTATTTCAATCCCTTAATTTTTCATCATTTATTTAATTAAACAGAATGTTAAAAGCTAATTAAAATTTTCGAAATAAACATTCAAGGAATCTTTTAATATAACATTTTCTTTAAATTATATCTGTAATGTTGCAAAACTCAATTTGTGTAACTTCGATTTATTTTTTTTTAAAGTTTCAGTACTTCATTTCGTATTCCTTGAAGATGGCTTAAATCAAGTTTTACTATCAATGCACAGCAATATTTAAATAAATGTATATACCTACGACGCACCTGGTTTAAGCGGTAGAAATTTGTTAATCTGGCACCTGAAGGACCAATGTGAGGCCAGATTATCGGAATGTTACTTATTTAATGTATTTGTGCTGATAAATCCAAATTATGCCATTCATAACGTTTTTATTTTTTAGTTTTAGTTTATTCCAATGCTACTCAATCTTTTCAACGTAATGGCATACAATAAGCATGCCATCAATTTTGTAGTATTCCATACAATTTATTTACAAAATTGCATTATATATNATTTTCTGTCACTAACATAAATAATATCTGGTGAATATCTTCGCAATTTTACACAATGAAATGACTGGAACTAAAAGCAGCTCGACTAGCACAACTCGGTGTTTCTATTAATAATTTCAATGTTTCAACTTCCATGAATTAAGGTCGTATACCATAACTACAGTAGTTGCTTCTTGATCACTGTCTAACTGAATCATTTATTTTACTATGAATGTTTGTTTTAGAAATATTGGTTTTAAATCCATACACTCTTTTCGATAAGAAAGCGGAGAACTTGTGTTTTCAGATATACCGCTAGCCTGGTTAGAGAGGTTCGTTTCGTCGTGGAAACGATTCAAATGGTTAGATGGAAAAAAAAAATACGGAACGCTTCACTATTTTGCGTGTCATCCTTGCGCAGGGGCCATGCTAATCTTCTCTGTATCGTTGTGATTTTAAAGTTTGAGAGATCAATGATCCTGCTATGTACCACCGTCGGTGGATTACCTCATGAACAAGGGTCTTGGGTGGTGCCGCAGCTGCAAAAATAAGCCATTAGAGGCTTTAGCCACTGACCCCGATCAAATGGTCTGCTCCGACATGTCCCCACAACAGATAAGTGGTAACCAGATACACACATTTAATCCAGACTGGACCACCTGGACCGTGACCACGGCTGACCCCGGCGCCAGTATCGTTCCAATTTTAGAATATGTACGACCGAAGTTGTACATCGAGTATTATGGATCGACCATATATATACCAACAACTTTAACTTTTACCGGTATGTTTACGTTTATCATCAGATAACAGTTAATCGCCACCCTGCAGATTTAACTATTGCGGTTCATTTTAAATTCGAACGATTGTTATTCGAAATTTCTTGAAATTCTCGCAGATAAATTATTGGCCGACGATCAATGGTTGCTTAATTCCACGACGCTGCAAAGAGAACAACTTCTTTCTCACTTAATCGCGTTACTACGGTACGAATTTGTTCTTCTTTCGCCATTATATTGAATTCACTTTCGATACGCACGTAATGACTTTTCTGCTTACTGTAACACAATGCTAATATTTTTGCCGAATTGTATTTAAGCTATTTTATTAATTTTATTTACAGCAAGTAACAGTTACACGATTAATTAATTAACTTGAAAGCGTCCAATGCTTGCTGTAATATGGTTGTTTCTGACCTGTAAATTGTTTATGCTTTTTAAAATTGATTTTAATTGGGAAAGGAAAAAAATTAAACTTTAGCAGAGAGTGGTTTCGATCCACCGACCTCTGGGTTATGGGCCCAGCACGCTCCCACTGCGCCACTCTGCTACATGTAGTCTGTTACTAACAGAACTTAATATTATCAACGCTCTTTATACGTAAACTACCGTGCCAAATTTCGTTTCTTAACCTTTCTACTATCCTGAGATATTAAAAGAAAAAGAAGCCAACCAACAGACACACACATATATATACATATTCATTAAACTTTTATTGACTTTTTGGGTTCAAGGAGTCACAAAACGTACAAATTTACAAAAATCTTTTTGAATCAAATGTGACACGATTCCCACACCGTCCTTTCCCTTGCTATATATACATAACAGCCGGAAAAGTGAGTCACAAAGACTATTAATATTCAAAAACGTTCTACTAAATGTGTTAGTTTTTTATTCATGCTTTTTACTGACTCTGTTAGGTGTCAGTTAATTACGTTAAACAAATACTTGCTATTTCGATTCTTTGTTTTCGATACACTATGGAATTTCAGGCAACTGATAATACGACGTCTCCTTTAGTGAATTTTGTATAATAATAAAGTTTACTCTATATAGGCCTATATATGTCAGGGGCAAATCCTGGCCAAAATTTTTGGGCATGCTGAAATTTATAATAAGAATAATAGCACCAAACAAGGAACGTTATTTGATGTGAATAAAAAAGTATGGACTATTATAAAGCTCATTATACCTACACATCAAATATATGAAATATATTATAATGAAAAAGTATTAAAAATTTATGATGATAATTCAAATTTTGTGGGCCCTTGACATTGGGGGTCCAGACCTTAAGCCCTATTAATCTCTATGTAGATCCGCCCCTGTACATAATACGTATATGCTGACTGGGTATCGCAAGCTTTCGATACAATCTGGCCGTGTTAAATGCTTCGAATGACGTCACGCGTGTGTACTTGTTTGCTGCGGCAAACCTCCACACGAGCAAGCGATCGAGTTCCCGCAAGCATCGTAATGACTTAAAACGGCTAGCCGCTAGCTGCCAGTGTAAAAGAAACAAATGATAAAAGAGTTTACACGTTAGAATAAATTATTATTGGCATATTTGTTCTCATATAAAAAGTATATTGACAGTCAAAACTTTCTCTTAAGCATGTAGCGCATGCTAAATAAGCCCAGAGAATTCGCCGCTGTTGCCTACCCTTTATTTTCGTGCAATTTTAATGAAATTTCGAGTACATTTTATAGTAAGATATTAACAATTATTGCACAAATTTAGAGAAAAATGATTAATAAACAAAAGAGCTACATACTATTAGCAAAAATAGAATGTCCAACATTAATAGAGCATCTTGACTTATGATATCTTTAAATTAAAATTAGTCGCAGATTTTGCTACCATTTTTGGAAACAAGCTGAAAAATATGATTAGGCCTAGACATTAAATTAATCAAAGATTACAGTCGTTCTTGTAGAATATTTTCCCACGCCTCAATGAGAGCAGCCTTTAGTTCAGTGACGGTCTTGTATTGCTTTCCACTGCTATGCATTTGAAAACTAAGTCACACCAAAGATTTTCAATTGGGTTTAAATCTGCACTGAGGAGTGGCCAGTCTAAAAGTCAGACATTCTCTGAAAAAAAGATAACGTTGATTTTGATACCTAGAAGATTGCATTATCCTGCATGAATTCTAGGTCCTGTCCAGCAATTTTCTCTCCATAAGTTTAGAGCTGCCTCCAGACAAGCTTCTGGTAAGTTTGAGAGTTGTTTCGACCTTCAATAAATACTAGATCTGTCTTTCCATTCCATACAATCCCTGCACAAGCAATCAGTGTACTACCATCGGCTACTCTGAGCACTGCACATCGAAAAATTGCACGTCATTCTCTAGGTGTTGTTGAACTCGAAATAGTAGGTGCAAACCCACTATTTCGTTTTCCTGTTCATTGCTTCTTATTATTGAAATAATTTGAGGTTGTTGAATGAGGTCTTCCCAAATTTTCAGTAATCCAAATTACTTTTCTCCCTTCCTAAAGAAACACATCAATTTTGATTTTTTCCTATACAGTTAGGTCCTTTCCTTGTCCCATTTTTAATAGTAAAGTGTTAAGCAAATTATTAAACTTCTCTTTTCCCTTGTTAATCATATCTTTTTTCAGATTTCATGGATTCCAATCATTACTTTCTTTGTAATTAATTCCAATCAGTGCATGTTCTATTAATGTTGGACATCCTATTTTTGATGATAATATCTAACACTTTTCTTTATTAATCATTTTTCCTCAAACTTATGCAATGATTGTTGATATTTTGCTATCAAACTTACTAGAAAATTTCATCAACGTTACACGAAATTAATAGTTTCTAGGCAATCACTATATGTTCTATTATTGTTGGAAGGACTGTACAGTACATTTAAAATATAAGTCAATATTGAAATTTTCTAAAAAATTAAATATTAATTATTTATATTGTTATCACTTTATATTGCAATAATTTTTATGATTCTAAAACATTTCATAAATCCATTATTTTTTTGAAATCTAATCCAAACTTTTATAGAAATTTCCAATAAAATGTAGAAATTCATTTCATAAAAATACAAAATATAAATTCAATCCATTCTAAATGATCAAAATAACACAGAAACTTCATAAAAATTGATTTAATAAGTTAAAAACAAATCCCGTCATTTTCCTTAAAAAAAAATTGATGGGATAAGGCAATGTAACATATGGACTATCTGTCAAATGAAGATGCCTCCCGGGAGGACTTTCTATGGAAATTAGCCCTATTTAGATGTTAGACACGTGAAGAAAATGCGGTAAATTCCATGCAGTCGGCCGGTTGGTAAGGCACAAACCCACGACCAGTAAATTGGTCATAAACTTGAATTTTTGGGCTGAGTTCGGTGGCTTTATTCATTCGGCGACTTCAAGAAACGACAGCTGTGTTTATTTGAAATTGCGAGATTTATAAGCTTGTTCTATTAACCCAGATAAACTTCTGCAATATTCTCTATTTAATTAATTAATATTTGCAGTTTTGTAATTTTATCATTTATATATACATGATTTTATTTTAAAAAAGTAAAAAAAGAAACCATAAATACTAGTATAAACCATTTTTCTAAAACCAAAATCCGAAAATTTTGGATATAAATTTATCTAAATGTTCACTTGTAACATCTTAATACGGTTTATATAAAAATTATTTGACAATTTAATTTGATTACAGCTTGTATTTTTAGAAAAATGTAATATCTTACAGGTTAAGTTTCCTTCCAATTCGTCATTTTGTATAATAACGGGCACGCCATAAATTACTCGAATGACGCAAGCCAAAGATATCAAACCAGAAAACGTCTGTTAAAAATAATTACCGATATTTATTAAATTAATTAATTAATTAAAATTAACTCTAAATTATAAAAAATACAAGAAAATAATTTCTAACATATCTTAATTATTCTAGAAGTTACTAATCCTTAATATTAATACTTTAAATGATTTTAATTAAAAATATATAAATATATAATGTAATTAAAGTCTATAAACAGTAAAATGTGGGTTATAAAACTTATCTTTTTATCTGGATGGATAATTTTATTAGTTTTTAATTATATTTCTGATGTTTAACTTATAAAAATATAAATAGATTTTTAAAAAGACGTGGTATAGTTTCTAATAATGCAATAATTACCTACTTACTGCACTTGTATAGCCCACAATTATGCAAAATTTTTGAAGATTCCACCTTTTGAAATACTTTTCTATAGTTTCCATGACGGTCATAGAGATGTCTGAAAGCATAAGTAACCTTATCTACGTTCTTATCTAAATAGTAATGCTAATAATTCAATTATCACAAAGTTCTAGGCAATATTAAGCTAGAGAAAAAGTAATTTTAATCACTTTTGTACACATTTTTATAAAAATTTAATTTTTTAAAATTATTTATCTTCGCTTGCTCTACTCATTGAAAAAAAATTATATTATTAAGATAAAATTTATTAAAATTTCTGTTTTAATTTTATTGTATTAAAGCTTAAATATAAAGATAAAAAATAGAAATAAATCAAAATGATATTCTAAAAGAATAAAAAGAAACGTATTGATGGAAAGAATTCGAATATTCGAGTGCCAAATTGATTTAGTTTGAATTTGGTGGAATATTTTTACGAATTTTAATATTCCTGCTGAACTTTTCGATATTTTTAACAGTTTTTAACGTTTATTAATAGGATTTTTATCGAAAAATTAATGTAGAATGCCAAAGCAATACGAAATCTTTCTATGTCTTCTATGGAAAGAATGGATGTTTATTCGAAGGGATTATGTTTTAACTTTCGTTGCTATCCTCCTGCCTGCTTTGTTATATGCTCCAATTTTATTTATAAGAAACTATAATACAGAATTAGTCACCAAACAAAGAGATATCACGTATTATACTATCTTCGATCCTGTAGTTTCTAATAAGTTGAAGATGGGCACCGAAGAAGAATTATTTTTATTCGCTCCTAATAATAATATTACAGCTTCTTTAATGAGAAAAGCATTTGAAAGAATTGAAACCAAATTTCACATATTTCCCGGTGAGTTTCTTTTAGTATTTTAAATATTTTATTTAAAACTGTTAGTAAATTTCAATGTTAAATTGTAGAATATTATGTTGTAATATGGTTTTAGTTTAATTTATGGCATAATTTTTATAGAATTAGTAGGAGTTATAAATGAAAAGGAGATAGAATTTATAGCAAAAAAGAGAAAGAAAATAAGAGGGGCTGTTATTTTTAATGATTTAAATTTTAATGGAACTGGAAAACTTGATTATAAACTCCGTTTTCCTATTTTCTATTCAATGATTACGAGAAACCATTTTAAAACTTTTATTAAATACCGACATTGGTACATGAAAAATGGTAACAAAAATTATTTTAAATTTTAAATAATGTTTGATAATTATCATTTTAAGTTTCTTTTCAAATATAGAGTTTTTTAGTAGTGAGTTTCTATTATTACAACACGCAATCGAAACGACTTTCATCGAAATGGTTCAAAACGAATCAAAGAAAAGCTTCGTGGTACGTCAATTTACAATTACGTACGTCAATTACGTAGTAGTTTCTATGGCAGACATTTTAATAACATTTATAATTATGTTATAGATGGAACTTCTCCAGCTTCCTACATCCTCCTACAGCGGCTATCAATTATTAATCATCCTTGATTTCTTGCCTTATATTATAGTCTATGGTCTGCATTTGTGTGTGGTTGTCATACTCATAAACTCATCCGCAAACAAACAAAGAGAAAGAGTAAGATTTCCATTATTTATTTTAAATTCAGTAAGAGAAAAGTACGATTTCAGTTTTCCTGCTAGGAGATGTTACTTGTTTCTGGAGTCAGTCACTATCTGATCTGTGTTTGCGATTTCTTCGTTAGTCTGTCATTAATTATGTTATCTTTATTGTTGCTTCTGATTGAGATTTTGTGTTTGAAGAAGGAAGTTAACATCCTTTCACATACAGAAAATAGTGTATTTTGCATAATCTTTATGATATACGCTCTGAATGCCTCTTTATTTATAATGTTCGTATCTTCCATCTTTCAACATCGTAAGTTCAACCTCCATTTTATTATTTTCCGAATAGAATCTAGATATATAATGAATAATTATATATTTTCAGCCGATATAAAGATACCATTTTGTCTTTCTGCGTGGATAATTACTCATACTATTCCCACTATTTTTATATTCCCTCGTTACAAGAGAGATCTGAAAACCATTTACAAATTTCTCTTTTGCTTGTTCCCAAATGTGGCTTTGCAATGGATATGCAGGATCATATCACTGTCAGAAACTAATGGTAAGCGATTTTGTTCAGAAATATTTCAAACAATATTTCAAGAAATGAAGGATTTTTACGTATTTAGGCAAAGAAGTAACATGGAGCACGCTAAATGATTCAAGTTTTGCTGATGATTTTACCATTAGTCAGATAATTATGATGATGTTTATATCTTCTATCATTTATTCTACATTTTTTCTTTTTAAATATCATTTTTTGAGTTATTTCCAGCATCATTCGAGTGTTTCTGTCAATGTAAGTAACCATGAGAATTGTTCATCTTGCAATTTAAAATATGAAATTAAACACCAAATTACAGGATTATAATTGGAATTTAAAGTATGAGCAACATACAAAAAATGATGAAAAATATTTCGATGATTTTCATGTAAAAAGCCAAAAAACTGGAATTTCTGTGCAAAATTTACATAAGGTATGTAATATAGGCCTATAATTTCATATAATTTCACACATTTAATTGATATTTGATTAAAATACATGTAGTAAATATCATTATGTATTTTTTCAAATTTTAGAAAAATCAACCTGGAAAATTTCCCATCTTAAACAATTTGCAAATTTATTGTCGCGAAAGTCAAATCACCACAATATTGGGACATAAAAATTCAGGAAAGTCGATGTTAACACTTATTAGTCTCGGTTAGTAATTTCTATTCTAAATGAATACATGATATTTTAATCGATTAATTACATTGATTTTAAGGTTTGGAGATCGCAGATAATGGAGAAATTTATGTAAATGATGAGAAAGTAAGAGGAGGATGGAATAACAAAGGTGCTATAGGCTGGTGCCCGCAAGTAAATATTTCATATTCTATGTTAACCGTGGAAGAAAATCTACAATTTTTTGCCCGGGTAACTCTAAAAACTTCAAATTTAACCAAAAAAAAATTAAATTTTTATAATTTTTATTATAAACATGAAACTTCAGTAATTGAATTATTTTTCTTATTTAGTTACATGGTAGCAATTATTCAAACAAAGAGAATATCAACAAAATTTTAGAGTTATTGAAATTATATTCCATTAAAAATCTCTTAGGAAAGTTTCTCCTTCGTCAAGAACTCAGAAAACTTTGCATTGGAATCGCCATGATTCATGATCCTCGAGTACTTTTTTTTTACTTCGGGTAGTTTATTTTTACATATTTTAAATTGCTTTTCACTAATTTTATTGTTTTTTAATATTAATTAAGGTTATAATTCTTGATGAACCCAGTTTTGGCTTTAGTTCAAAAGAAACATTACATCTTTTAGATATCTTGAATAAAATTTGCCATAATAAAACCATTTTATTCCTCACTCGTTCGAAGCACGAAGCACTTTTAACTGAAAGAATAATCTTTCTTGTACATGGAAATATTAAATGTTCGGGATCTTTAGAAGATTTACAGAAAAAATATGGTAACTTTTTTATTTTTTTCGTACGCAACGTGAACAATTGATATCATTTAACATTGAAAATTTCTTGTAGAATGTGGGTCTCGAGTTATTATTGATGTACAGAACGGAAGCCAATACGAAAGTATTGTGGAATATATTCATTCTCTAACTGAAGAAGTTAATATTATAAAAAGTAACAAAGAAATAATTGTCTGGCTATTTGCCTCGAATAGAATATATATAGTTAATCAAATAATCCAATTTGTCGAAGGAAAGTTTCCATTCAAAATATTTAATGTGACCATGGCTGATATTTTAGGAAGGTAATTTTGAAATTTTTGTATATTACCGCATATCAGTTTCCGCAACTTTCCGTTTTATCCTTTTAATTATCCAATAAAATATACTACATGTATTTAGCGTTTTTAAATATTTTAATTTAATTCGTGGTCTTCCATTAAAATCAACATTTTTGTGGTAAAAGAATAAAGTAAGGATATTAAGTACTGGAAATGTAAAGATAAATCATGATGTAGCAGACGTTCAAAAGCAACAAAACAGTGCAGATAAATTCGGGATGTTTTGTGTGATCGTTAACGAAATCAACACGTAAAATAATAACAGAACTTTGAACTCCTTGATAACAATACAAAAATAAACGGTTTGTATTTATAGATTTTACATAGGAGTTTCGAGATCTTATGACTTAAGCTATCAGTCTACAACTTCGGTCTTTACTTTTAAATTTATTATATATTGATGGAGAGAGAAATTCTCTCAAATAATTCTCTTCATCAAATAAATAAATATATATATAAGTTAAAATTTAGCTTTGATCATTTTAAGTTGTAAAAGTACGCATCAAAGGGATTATATGACTTTAGTTCTGAAAATGTTATATTAACGGAAGCTATTTTATTTAAAGTTTTGAATCTAATATGTCATCATTTCTGGTACAATTTTCTGAATCTAAAATGGCGCTTAACAAGAAGGATAAACAGTTTTACGCATTAATTTTAGTTGTGTTTGGCATGCCAATTTTAAGCATATATCGCGAATATAGACTATTGCATATACTTCTATATAATAAATTTACAAGATCATACATCTAAATGAAGCATATTTCTCTTTTTAACAGTTTAACGAAACTTAAAAATGATTGTTCTTGTTCAAAGTCTGTTAAAATTCCGAAAGACTTAAAGAGTAAGTTTTTATTGATTTATTTACAATTTAAATAAATTTCTTTATATTAAAATTCAATTTTTCATTCTATTCCAGATTATATAATTAGTTATAAGTATGAAAAACAGAAATTAAAACGGTTCTTTCGACAGTTTTGCATCATTATATGGAAAAAATACGTTTTGGCAAAAGCAAATTTGGTACAATTTCTTTCATTCTTTTTCTTAGCCTCGATATTATTTATTATGACATTTTGGTCAGAAAATAAAGCAAAGTTTCGCTATTCAACCGAACTTGTTAACATAAGCGACTTCTCAAATATTCATAATTTCGAGTTGTTTTATTCAATAGATAACTCTATCGTAGCTAGAATTGTGGAAGCAATTTACTACGAAAAGTTAAGAAGCGAAAATGTTGTGGTATACAAAATCAAAGATTTAACCCTTCACGCTGTTGAAACCAATAAGAATTTCATAGAAGAAGTCAATTCGGTAGGTGCCATCATCAATAGTCGCACTGGTAGCATTATTTCTGTTGATGCTTTGTATTCAGGAAACGTTCCACATCTTTCTTCTCTATCCATAAATTCTTTCAGTAATGCCTTTCTGAGATTTGTAACTAGAGACGAATCTTCCTACATCAAAATATCGAGCGAATCTCTGGAATCGCTGTCCGATCGATATCTTTTGTATCTCCCGATAACGTCTACTTAATTTTCTTCTATCTGATTATGCCATTTGTATTACAATTGGTTTCTGGTCAATTATTAATCGATTATTGTCGAGAAACGTATTCATCATTCAGGAAATTACAATTGATGACTGGTGTCAATGTCCAACTATTTTGGATTTCGCATTTTGTATTTGATTATTCTGTATATTTTCTATGGACAATATGGACTCTTCTGTTGTTACTATTGTTTAAAGACGATTGCTTTACATTTTTTTCATTTAAATATTTCGGTAAGTTATTAATTTAAAAATTAATTTAATTATATTAATAAGTAATTCATGCGTATTATTCTATCAGCTAAAATCGCTGCTATTCTCTTTGCTTATGGATTCTTCTACCTCCCTTTAATTTACATCTTGTCATACATCTACAAACCAGAATATCCTAAATTTCTTTATAGAATATTATTTAAAATTTTATTGGGTATGAGTTTTTAAAGTATTTTTTATTTAAAAAATATTTTAAAAATTCAGACATTACATTTTTTTCTTTTCAGACATTACTCTAATGATCTTCATCATGTTGGTTCTGAGTTCATTAAAAGAATTTTCCGTCTTTGTAATCAAACCATTTATTTATTTATTTCCAACTATATGTGTTGTATGGAGTCTAGAAGATATTTATGTTCGCATGTTGAAAGATAATATCTGTCCCGAGATATTAGAAAGCTTACTTTTAACTTGTGACAAACTGAGAGATGGTTCCCTCTTATATGCATGCTGCCATGGTATGGTTTTCATGTAATTTTTTTAATATAACTAAATATTGATGATGATTTTCTTACAGAATATAATACTCTACAAAGACAAAATGTCTATTTAGAAAATTGTGCCTTTATGGTTATTTTTGGGATACTGTATTTTACAATTTTACTCTGTATCGAGCATCATTTTTTCACCGCCATAAATAATAGATATCAAATACTCAAACGAATGTCTAAATTTCCAGAAATTGTCATATCCGAAGATTTCTCTCAAGAAAATATATTTATTGTGAAAAATCTTCGCAAGAAGATCCATCTAGATTTTAACATTCGTAATGTATCTTTCAGCATCGAGAAATCGAAATGTTTTGGCATATTAGGGCCATCCAATGCTGGGAAATCCACTTTGCTGAAATGTCTTATAGGAATTATATCAATTGATAATGGAATTATTCTCTTCGATGATTATAATATTATGTTAAACTATCAAAAGGTAAAAATTTTGGCAAAGTAATGTTTATTTGTTGCTTTTTATATAATTTATAATTTTATAGTACCAATCACAAGTTGGATATTGTCCTCAAAATGAAGGTTTATTGTGGAACTTAACTGGCAAACAGACAATTAAATTATTTGCAACTCTTCGCGGGATTGAAAGGCATCATATTCCAAAAATAATTAATCATCTGTTCAGATCTCTTGGGCTAAATGAAGAAGATAAATTAGTGAGAGAATATAGGTAAGAATGAATGCCTTATTTGCATATTCATAATATAAAAACTTATTTTCTAACGAATTTCTTGCAGTGGTTGCAATAAAAAACTATTGTCAATTGCAATATCTCTTTTGGATTATCCTCCCTTGATATTTTTAGATGAACCCACCTCTCATATGAATAACGATATCAGAAATTGTGTTTGGAAGACGTTATTAGAAATCAAGAATGATCCTTACTTGCAGACTTCTTTTGTAATTACTACATCGAGGTAAGTAACGGAGTATATGCCAAATTAATCAGTTAGAAATCTCACATAACAATTACTTATACTTTAATATAGTATATTAAAATCACTTTCATTACTAAATCAATTTTATTTTTAATTAATTTTTTAGTTTTGACGAATGTACGAAACTTTGTGACCGAATGGCCTTCTTGGTCAATGGAAACATGTATTGTGTCGGCGATGTTTCTGATCTTCAAGAGACGTTTGCCATCGGTTATCTTGTAACCATTTTCATAGACGATTCAAAAATTGATCCGATAGAATTAACTGAATGTATTTCTAAGATTTTCGAAAAAATCAATTCGGTCATATTCGAAGTTTTTGCAGAAGCGGTAAGTAATCAAATTGCAATTATACAGTATTGTTAATGCAAATATGAAATGAGCTCAAACTAAATTATATTATAAGACTGATTTTTATTTTATGAAAAAGTAGATTTTGAAATTTCAATTGGCTCCTTCAGATTCCATAAGATTATTCAGCAACATTAAATTTCGTTTCAAAAAGATAGTTTCAATTAGGTTCTTGAGTTTCGCAAGATTTTTCAGAGTTTTAATGTCTTTCTGAAGACGACAATTTCAATTATTTTATGCTTTATTTTATTTATTTTTTATACATAAGCAGAAAAGTCCCGAAGAGTAATTGATATCTGCCCTCCAAATTATGTTCAAGTTTTATGAAGTTCTGTTACTTCGAGTATTTCAGTTCCTCTTTTATGAAATTATCATTATTCAATTACGGTATTCAATTACATTCTTCGGGTTCCATAGTGTTCTTAACCTTTTTAATGTGTCCAATAAACATTACTGTATTCATTTTACGAGTCGTCTCGTTAGACGTTACTGTGTCAACTATATATTGTCGTTGCAGAGTTGGAAGTTTTAATTATTATGTTCTTTCAATTTCATAAGGTTCTTCAAATTTTTTAATTGTTATATTAAGGAAGGCAATTAAAATTCATACAACAGAAAATAACCTGAGCTTATTTCATTGTTTTTTTTCTAAGAAAAAAATCCTTTAGCTTTTTTTATTTTTCCATACGTAATTTTCTTTGAGTACTAAGGAACCTTTCTAGAAGATATTATGGCTTCAAGTAGTTCATTTTTTTCGACTGCTCCGATTCAGTCTATAGAGCAGAAGGTTGATCCTTAGCCGGCTCGTAGCGGAATTGGAGTGTGTTCTGGCATAAAAGCGTAAAACAGAAACTGAACTGAAAGCTGATTTCTGATTCAGTTTTCTGCCACACAATTTTAGGCATGTGTGTTCCTGGCCTTACGTTTCAGCCAAAATTTCATAAAAGTTTTTACGCTTTCTGTTTTATGCTAGATTTTACGCCGAATTTTACGCATGTGTATTCCTGGCCTAACGGTTTCGGTCTTCCTATTCGCGTTTTTCACCGGATGCTCGCCCTCTGGTGTTTAAAAACAGAACTACTCTATCTGGGTCGTTTGAATGTTCTTCATATATTGTCAACAGTAGAGATGAATAGTAAAAGTAAAAGTAAAGCTTTCTGTTGTGTTCCAAATTGTAATTCCAAAACCATACGCGATCCCGATATAAGTTTTCATGTATTCCCATATGAAAAACAGATGATTTTTCGTAAATCAGAATTCGGAAAATCTCAGAAATGTAACCGACGGAAAGAGTGGATTCGACTGCTAAGAATTGGCAAAAAAGTTACGAAGTATATGGTAGTATGTTCGAAACATTTTACTCTTGAAGATTATATTTTGTCATGTATGCTATCATGTTTTTATAAATATGTTTAGATTATTGTAATTCGATAGTATTAAAAAATCAAACTGAAAAAGATTGCATAGAGTCTAAGTATAAAATAATTTAGTATTTGTACTCGTTTTTAACCTATACTATAGGATTATCTTCAATAAAACGTAATTCTATTCAATTTTATATGATATGTCGATAAACTTTAAAATTCCAGTAATTTTGTGTGGGATAGAAGTCAATGCTAATGTTTGCAGACAAAGAGCACAAAAATGTACAGAACGATCTTGCTCGTTTTTCTCGATAATACAACATAAAATGACGTGTCCTGCTAGTAATACTTGTTCTCCTTCTATAAAATTTCTCGATGAACTGCTACAAGTAGCATATTTCATTATATCAGATAGTAATATATAATTCATTTTACATTGACGACTAACAAACGACCCAGATAGAGTAGCCATNAAATGGTCTCTATTACAAAATCAACATAGTGCAGCAAATCCAAACATTGTTTTCTAAGAATCGTTGCTAATCAGAATTTAACCGTTGATTCTTTTTTTTACTCGTCAAATATTAAAATAATTTATTTACATACTTTAGCGCCAAATTTAATTTAATAATAATATAAACATTCCCCTAGTGTCTAAATTAAAACCTTATTTCAATTTCAATTTTTGAGGATAATGTAATGGTTAATTATATTAAAAGTGTCAGGATATTTCTATTTTAACTACTGTATATTAAACTTAATTTTAAAGCAATTTAACTTATCAAAAGTAAAAAAAATGCTGTATTTTCACTACTTAATTAATGTTACAGAAGCTCCCCTGGTGGCTAAATTAGAACATTATTCAAATTCAAATTTTTTGTGTGTAATATAATGATTCACCGCACCGAAAAGTTAAAATGTTTTGAATAAATTAGACTCGATTCGTGGCATTCGTGACTAGGTTTAACTCGTCTTGAAGATAAGAACAACACAAATAAGAATATTACACACATTGTATTCGAGAAGATAACTCTATAAATTTAACCTTAACATATCTTCATCTCATCCTAAGTTAATTTTTATGCAAAAATTTATGTAAATATTAATAAAATTAATTCAATGATTGTTCACAAAGAGAAAAATATTACAATAATTTAAAATATTCTTTAAAGAATATTGCGAAATGATTATTCATGGTATGAAAATTCTTCAATTTAATCACAGGCGATTAATTCTTAATTGAAAATCTTATTTGAAAGTCGAAGATTAATTTTTCTAGGATATGGAGATAAGTAAATTCTGTTCAAAGTATAATTACTTGGATGAAGATCGCGTTACCTTTTAACTCACAAAAGCCATTGTTGGAATTTTACTTTTGAATTCCGTTAAATGGCAAGAAGAAAAAAAGTAGGAAATTAACCGTTTTGTAATTACATGCATTCATAGATTTAATCTAAATTACTTTAATTAAACATTTATACATTAAAACTGTAGATAAGTAATAGAATTTTAATATTTTGTCATAATGTTTTAATTTTATATTTTATTATTTGAAAAAATGTAATGAAAATTAAAATAATTATTAACGTTTGTTTTAAGCTATTTTACTTTATCTCTGATTTTTAATTAACAATCAACTTTTTAAATTTAATCTTCTTAATAACAGATGGCAGCACGTTTAACTCATTATGTGTACCACTCGATGGGCGTTGGAGATAGGTCACTTGATGAGTTTGTTAATGATTCACTGTTATGAATTCCCCGATTTATATTTTTGGGCCAAAGTGAAACTTTTAAGAAATTTAAATTCAGGAAGTGATGCAAGTAGTGTCGAGGGATCACGAGTCACTTTTATGTTACCAAAATTAGGACTTTTCCACCTTACATTCACACGTAACTTGAATTTAAGTTTGACATACAAAAAGTTATTTAATAATTTCAGCAATTTAGAGATATTAAATTATTTTTACATATTTTCATACATTAAAATTTTTCTAGAAGGAGTTTATTAATTTGCATATTTTTCCATTTTTTCAATGTAAGTACTTATTAAGAATATTGATCCCAAATATAAATATTTTTACCATTTTTTACCTTAAATATTCTAAATTACCATAAAAGAAGCATACAAGGATAACGTATTTTGCATGAAGTTTTAGCTTTAAATTTTCTTAATTGTCCCTCACTCTTCTCGTGGATTTTTAGAAAATAAATGTTCTTTGATAATATCTTATTTACTTTTTATTAATAAGTAATTTTCTTGATGACAATGAAGACAAACTTTCTAGAATTGAAATTGAAATTTTCGTAATGTTAAGATGATAAAATGACTATCTTTAATAAGAGACTTGAGTTACTTTTATTGGAAAGTAACTTGGTGATAAAATATGAGGGATCTAACTTATTGCCCAATAAAGAAACCTATTTATTAGGACAAAAGACAAGAAAACTGCAAGAAAAATAAAAGGAAACATTGAGGATCTAATTTACTAACTAATAAAAGACCTAATACTGATATCCTTTTATTGAAGAATAAATTAGAAAGAAAATATTAGTTGACTTTATGATAAGGAGACCTAAATTCTTAAATTTGGATGGTCGGATGGCAGAGGCGGGTAAGGCGTCTGCCTTCTTCTCTGCGGGACCCGAAATTGAATCCGGGCGGTAGAAATAAACCCATGATTTTTTTCGTGAGCGGTCTGTCCAGGATATGTCAGGTCCTTCCCTCACCATCCGGTCGCACCCATTGTGGGCCTGGCCTGGCAAGGGTATGGGGAAAAAATCCTCTTAGTGCCTCACATGGCGGAAAGACCCAAATGTAAAAAAATTCTTAAATTTTCAATTTATAATTGTAATATTAGCATTGTTTACACGAAAAATTAATCTATTACTTGTTTAGAAGCAAGAATTACACCAACAAATGGTCTCTATTACAAAATCAACATAGTGCAGCAAATCCAAACATTGTTTTCTAAGAATCGTTGCTAATCAGAATTTAACCGTTGATTCTTTTTTTTCTATTTTAATTCGCTTAACTGTAAATAATTAAAAATATAAATTTTATACACCGATGACTAATTTAGTTCGTGGATTTAGTAAAGAAATGTGAAGGATACTTTTACCATTTTCTATAATTCTAAAACCATTAGACAATAATTTATTATAAAAATTTATACTTAAGAATGATTAGAACGTAAGTAAAACCATTTTAAAAACATTATCTTTAAGTTAAACTGTGAAAAATCCCGATTGAAGTTACGTAATTTTTGAATTTTTGTAAAGTAATTATTTACTTGATTCACAATAGAGAATGGCGCCAACGGATCACTTAAGATGCAGACAAAGTACAAATACATTTTATGGGAGTAAATTTTCCACTCCTCCCATAGAAAAGAAGATATGGCTGTTCACATGACAGAAAATTAGCGACACATTTTGTAGTTTTGCAATTATCAGGAGTATCCAGATGCTTCTTTCTACACTTTACATTTGTATAAAACAGGACCAAATAACTCGATTTTGTCAACACACCCACAATGGTGTCAGGGACTACGACAACGACAGAAGATATCCTTCAATTAAGACACTAATTAACTATAAATAAGTGAAATTTCAAAATGTTCGCAGAAAATGCGTTTTATCATCTTTGGAGTTTCTTCATAAAGTCAATTAAGTTATGGAGAAATTGTACCGCTCCTACGATTACGTTAACATTCTTTTAATTATAAAATGGATTATAAATAATTCCAGATTAGTAAAACTTTATATTGAAACAAGATGGGGATTTATTTCCGAAATGGGTCACAAGTTTCACAAGATTAGATCGATGATTAGATTTAAATGGCTAAGAGCTATGTAATTATAATTAATTACTTTTCTTGGTTTAGAGTTAAAAAAATTGTTATCCTTATTCTTATCCTAGAAAATTAATCTGCATTTTAAAAAATTATGCATATAAAAAATTAATTCTCGGTACTGTCAAAGAGAATTTCCCACCTCTTTTCAATCCCATCCCAATTCGAGAACGTGATAAAAATTATAAAATAATATTCAACATATTTAAAACTTAGAAGACAATTCGTAGAAGAGACTTTCGTCTTTCTTAAAGAAACGCCTTCGATTTCCGGTGTGAAGTTAAGGAAAATCTGGTAATAAATTATCATAACGATCAACTTGTCCTTGGCATTATAGTTTGAAAGTTACATAATTTTTGTGCCATCAATTCTTTAACTTCTTTCATTTTCTATTTTATTTTTCACTCTCCTGGATTAAAATTGCGATTTATAAATTTGTGGTCAAATTGTTTAACTACTTATATATATGTTATTATGCTATCTATCGTAGTTTAAAGGTTAGAGGTTAGTATGTCAATCGTTTCCCGTTAAAACCTGTTCCAAGTTTAAGTCGAAACCCGCCACACCTGTTTAAAACGGACGATTGACATTGTTAAGTGAAAACTATTTCCTATCGCTTTCGTTACACTAAAAATCACCTGAAGGCATTTCGTGTCCTCGAAATCATCTACCATTTTTTAAGGAAAAAAAAAAAAGAACATTTTGAATGTCACACGATACTAACGCAATTAATTATCATTGAACTTTGCTCCACAGTTAGACTTCAAGAGGAGTATTTTCTGCAAATTGCCTATTGAAAGTAATAACAATTTAGTGGGATTTTAATGCGACGAAGCCCATTTTATGTTTAAAGCAACAGTCGAATCATCATAAAATTAGAAGAAAACCTATATTTTTACTACATTTTTCAATTAGTTTCATATAAAATAATTATAATTCTGGTTTAAAGCTAAGTATGAAAGTTGAATAGGTGGTTTAAATAAAGAAGAAAGTGATACTATTTGTTATTGGGTATGTTATTCCCCAGGAGGCAACACGAACGACCTTTTTTTTTAAATCTTAAATGGACCAACGCCCCTTTGCGATGTAACCTCCTTCGAAAGAATTGGTAAGAAATTAGATATTAAGGCTAAGTGAATGAACATCACTTTGTTATCCTGAATTCCAGATTACTGTCATTTAGATTGGATAATAGGTAAATGTTTGTTGGTATTTCTTTGAATGCCCAATCTGATGGCACATTGTCTTTTTTTTTTTACTAAATCTCCCCATTTGCTACTTTAAAAGAATATTCAGCAATATAGGTTATTAAGTCTAATTTAACTGGACATCGTCTCATTTTCTAGTGCATATTTACAGATTTCGAGTAAGAGAATTAACCTGAGAGAAGAATAGAAAAATGCCATCACTAAAGTAATCGTTAAATCATTTTTCCTCAATTGTCAAGAAAATAAATGATGACTGACCCTACTTTTTCTGATTTGATATTTTATCTTGGTGTGTAAAAATGACAAACGAAGGTCGTTGACTCATAACTGAAGGAAGTTTTAACAAATGGTATGAAGATTAGACAAAAAAAGAAGGAGTAGAAGAAGAAGATCGAGTGACTACAAACCAGGAAAGACGTGACCAGGAGGAGAAAGTCACGTGGGTGATAACGCGTCACGTGACAATTTCGGGAGAAGGTGTGTTGTTTCATAACAAGTCACATTAATTTCCCGAATTCTTATCTGAAATTATTATTTTGTGAAGGAACCCATTCCAAGATAAAGTGATCCACTACTTTTAATTAATTCACAAATAGATTTTTCTAATGGTTTCTAACACGAAAGCGGCCATTGAAATCATACATAAGTAATACCTGCTAGTTGTTTACATCGTATGCTTTAATATGAATATTTAATTAAGTTATTGCAGAATAAATATCTATTAAATTTAAATGAAAATATAACATATTTACAGCTAAAATTAATCACAAAATCTAAATTTTATGGAGTAAATTCAGAGTTTTTTTTTAAATCTATAATTGT